GGAACCGAACTCACGACCTTGCGCTTGCCAGGCAGGCGCTTTTGCCGCTGAGCTAAATCCCCAGCCCCCCCTTCATCTTTTCAAGCTGAAACTGTCCGCATTAACACTATCTCCATGCCCTTTCCTCAGCCTCTGCTGTGCTCAATTCTACTTCTGTCTGTGACTTGACTACTCTGAGTCCCTCATACAAGTGAAATAGGATACTCTGCCCGCCCCCCTTTTTTTGGTACTGAGAATCAAATTCAGGGCCTCACGCTTGCCAGGCAGGTGCTGTGCCCCTGAACTATATCCCAGCCCTATTCTGCCCTTTTTGGACAGGCTTATTTGACTTAGCATAGTGTCCTCAGGGATCAGCCATGTTGTAACATGTGTCTATACTTTTCTTATTTTTTAAGGCTAAATAGGGCTCTAGCATGGATTTATCATTTTGTCTGTCCATTTTTACAAATTGACTGAGCGTTCATTTGCTCAATTTTGATAGACAAAGTGGTAGCAGCCCTGAGCTTTGAAAGCCAGCCGCTATCAACTCTTAAGTCAGCAGCCCTCTACCACTATTGTGGCAGCTGGAGCCAGCAGATACTAGCAGCCCTCAGGACTCTTCTGGTGACCGAAGGTGGTAACTTTCAGAAACTCTTTGGCTTTCCGCCATTCTCTGCTGCTGGCTGCCCTCAATGTTACAAGCTCTGACTGCTGGCCACTTTTAGCACCACCAAAGGCCTTTGGTGTTGCCAGCTGTTAGTCTCCCAGCTCAGCTCTGAAACAGAAATCATGAGTAGGCAGAAAATGCTATCTGGAAGAGGCTTTATTAGGACTTATGCTGCGCCTCAGGGGTATACCGCATGGTCTGACCCAGTAAGGGAACAGGAAGGATATTCATGTAGAAGAAAAGGGTAGGCTCATGTGAACTCAGTGGTAGACCGTCTGTTTAGTCATAAGGGCGAGGGCGGGGGGCTCTTTGTGGACCCTATTGAGGATGGCTGCAGAAAGGATTGTGCAGGAACCCTGATTGTAGCTTGCATCAACCAAAGCATATGTCTCCTGGAGTGGCTTTGGGGTATCTGATGTTTCTGTGGTTAGCTGTGAGGCACTTGGGGCAATTGCAGAGGAAAGAGAGTAAAAAATACTCCTTGGGGAACATGAGACCCTTTTCTCTGTCATATGGATCATGTGGATTGCTTAGGGTCCTAACTGTTCTGAATGGTGTTGCTATGAATGTAGGAGTGCAGATGTCTCTTGGAGATCCTGCTTTTGGTTCTTTTGGCTAAATCTAGCAGCAAACTCATGTGGTAATTCTGTGTTTAATCTTGAGTAACTTCTGCGTTTTCCAGAGTAACTGCGCCATTTCTACCAACTGCACAACTGTGGTGATTTCTTGATATCTCACCATTGCTCTGTCATTCTTTGAATAGTAGCCCTCCTACTGGGTTTAAGTGGTATCATTGTGATTTTGATCTGCATTTCCCTAAGAACTGATGATCTTGTGTGTGAACTAGTGATTTTACATGCTTGTTGGCCATTTGATTTTCTTCTGTGGAGAAATACCTATTGATGAAATTGTTGGGGTTTTGTTGTTGAAGATTCCATTGTTTTTTTAAGCCAGAGTAGGTGATGTATATCTTGTTCATGCAACCAAAGGCCATAAAAAGAGGAAGTGTTACTGTGAAATGTAGGTAATTGATTGTTTACATGCATGCAGAATGGAAAGATTTATGCAACAATAAATATTCTGTATTAATGTGTTAAATCTTAATTTTGAAAGCATTACATTTTTTCCCAACTTTTTCATTTTTGATTACTTGACTTTTTATGGCTTTTTCCCTTCCTGTTCAAAATGCTTTATAAAAATAGCAACCAAGTTAATAGCTTCTCTGGAGTGGCTATTTTCCTTGATTATCACCTGTGAGACTCCCTCAGGGCCTAATCTCAAATCCTTTGAGCCCTTTTGTCCCCATCAGTTCAGGCATTGTCCAGCAGTACCAGGGAGATGGGTGCACCAATGCCACTGGTGTGGAAGTGGCGGCCAGCAGGCAAGGGCCAGATTCATAGAGGACATGGTCACTGCAGGCAGCCCTGCCTAGGGTCAGCCTGGAACAAGTCTGATTCCTCCCTGTGGGAGCATCTGAAGGTGGCCTCACACTCATGGCAGGACGTATGAGGGCATCCACCTGGCTTACCTTCTGCCTATTGCTACGGAAAATCAGGGTTCACAGGGGTCCCCACTAGAGGTAAGCCTGGCTGGCTATGTCTGCTGCTTCCTGTTTGCGTCTGTGACACCGTTTCTGGAAAACAATGTATTTCTGCTTTTATTTTGATAATGTTTGTGATTTCAGCTATTAAACGCTCAGATTTAAAGTCTCCATTCTGTAATCGAATCAGTGATAAACTAGTATAAGATTAAGTGTAAGATTCAAGGATCACTCACATTCTCATGAGTTGCTGTTATTTAGTGCCAGCCACAGAGCATGGTTGTGTGTGTTCAAATGCATTTCTGCTTGTCTTGATGATTTACAGCCATTGCCCATGCTTTTAAGTCTGTTTTGACAATGATAAGTAGATGCATGGGGCAAACTCTGCTGTTTTTATTAGAAGTGAATACTGTTGAGTGAAAAGGGGCTTGTACACAATTTTCTTGTCAAAGAATGATGATGAGGAAGTGAGCAATTTTAGTTCCTTGGTTTTGAGCATCATTCCCACGTGCCCCCAACAGGCAGCTTTTTCTGTAGCACTTCTTTCCTCCCTTTCAGACTGAAAACAGACTCAGTGCTCACTGTATCAAAAAATAAAAACTTTATTCATCTTTACTTTTGAGGCTGTGGATTGCTGTTCATGGTATTAATTACTGCAGGAAAGAAACTTTTAATGAAAAGATGTTCAAATTGTTTAGTTATTGACTTATGATTTCATTATCTTATACAAAAAAGAAATACTAGAAAACCTTAAATATATTTAAGTAGTAAAAAATTATGTTTGCTTCATCATGTTCTTGACAACAGTTTGGGTGATGCCTCACTTAAATTTTTTTAAATACAGGATAAATAGGAAACCCAAATGATTATTGACACTGGGGCCAAGTTGTTAGTTTTAGATACTGTATTTTTCTTTTTTTTTTTTTTTTGGTTTTTGGTTTTTCTCCGGTACCGGGAACCGAACTCACGACCTTGCGCTTGCCAGGCAGGCGCTTTTGCCGCTGAGCTAAATCCCCAGCCCCTAGATACTGTATTTTTCACAAGCCTCTTCCCAGAGCTTTTATACTTTTTTTAATGGCCTTCGTGTTTTAGTAAAGCATTTTGATACCTGATGGTGCCTTGGCTGAGCATGGAAACGCTGGAAGATTCTAAAACATATTTAGCTATTTCTAGTATCACATTCTCAAAAGAACCAAGATACAGCTCAGGTTTCTCAAAATGGAAATATGTATCACACGTTATCCTTGTAATTTCAAGCTCATAATTTGTCTCTGAAAACAGTTAACTAGTACTTTCAGAATTAAACATGATATCTGTTTTGGTCTCCTGAATTATAAGCCAAATATTTATTACATTCTCTTACAAAAGATAAGATGAAGATCTCTTTGAAAAAATATTTTAATAAAACATATCTTTATTTCAGTATCTTGAGTAGTGAAGATGAAGAAATATTCAATAATGAAGAGTGCGAGTATGCATCCAAAAAAAGGAAAAAAGACCATTTCAGAAATGACACAAATGCCCAAAGTAAGATAATTTTTACTCATAATTTTTAAAATGTTGGAATGATGAATTGTTTTTTTGTTTTGTTTTGGTACCAGGAATTGAACTCAGGACCTTGCACTTGCCAGGCAGGCACTGTGCCGTTGAGCTATATCCCTGGCCCATGAATTGTTTTTGTAGTGCTATTTTATGAAATAAAAGGTGATCCAGATACATAAATAAGCGCTGTGTCCAGTGTTACCACTGATTTAGTGATCGGATTTTTGCATTTCTGCCACTTGAGTTGTTAAGATGTGCACAAACAGAAGATGGCAGAACCCAAAACACAGCCTCCACAGCTCAGTAACCAAAGGGCAGTTGTGAACCTGATTCATTCTGGAGTAGCCAGGCCACCTGAGAAGGCACCTAGGTGCAGTGTCAGTGAGGCTCAGGGCACGAACTGAGGATGAGAGGAGCTGGGATTTGGGACATTGAGTGCTAAGGGTGTGGGGATGGCAGGGCAGTAACTTTCCTGCAAGACCAACATAGTGATGTCACTAACACCTGTCAAGGTAAAAGAAGTCAGGGTCGAGTAGAAAAGCTTTAGGATGAGAATTATGTGAAAGTATGGATCTGTGGAGTATTAGAGAAGGTGAAACGAAAATAGGGCTTTATTAGGTTATATAAGGTTATATACATAATTTAATGATTTATATGATCATTTGTCTTTTGATATGACCACAGTCATTAATAATTCTAATTTCTTCTGCATTGTAAGACATGGTAACTATCTTCAGTCATTTTCCATGTGAAGGGTTCTCAGTATATCATAACTGATACTGGGAAACAAAGCATTTCTCTTTACATTTATCCAAGTAAAAGCATCTTTTACCGATCCAGTAAATCAGATAATTTTGTTACCATGTCCAGTTACTGAAATTTTTAAAATCTTTCTTTTCAAATGCTTTGTCAGATTTTAATTTTTATTCTAGGTTTTTATCGTGAAAAGTGGATCTATGTCCATAAAGAAAGCACAAAAGAGGTAAGTGTTCTTTATGAATAACAGCATATCCTATATTGTTTCTGTTGAGAGTGAAATATGTTAAATAATCTCTTGTAGTGTTAAATCTGTGATTCACATTCTGACAATGAGTATACATGAGAATCTTTTGAAGTGTGGTTCACAGTTGTATGTGTGTGTATGTGTACCTTTGTGTGAACGTGTGGTGTGTGATGTGTACATATGTGTGACATGTGAAAGGATACATGTGTATATTGATGTATGCGGTATGTATATATGTGGTATGTATATGTATGTGCTATATATGTGTATATTGATGTATGTGGTATATATATGTGGTATGTGATATGTGGTATGTATATGTATGTGCTATATATATATGTATGTGCTATATGTAGGTGTATGTGCATGTAGTATGATGCACTATCAGAGTAAGTTGCTGTGGCTTGGGGAATGTGCCTGACTCTCATGTTTATGCTCATCTTACATTTATGTTTACTCCATATGGAAAGTGCCTTCGTGAAACTGTTGTCAAGGTTGGGTCTACAGAGCAGTGTGAACTCTTTTACACCTTATACTGCCAAGTTGGCTAAAGTTTTCTGTGAACTCCTAAACCAGTGATGGTGAATCTTTTAGTGCTCAAACCGCAACCCAAAACCCAGCTGTTTATCACAAATCACCAGCACCGCCCCTGTATGCACCATTATCCAATGCTCAGCTGCTGGGGTGACTTGGCTTGTGTGCTAAGAGAGAGCTCTGGTGCCCATTGTGGCACACATACCATGAGTTCACTACCACTGCCTTAAACAAACCAGTTAGCTCTACTCTCTGTTTTCCTGTTTCTTTACCTTCTATCGAGGAAGCCTAGTTCTTTTTGCAGCCTTTAAAACTCTGTATTTGCTTCATTTCACAGCACCTGTGGGAAATAATGCAGAGAGCAATTGTTTATTATATTTTAAGTTAGGGTAAGTTAAATGTTCCAGAATAATGGATGTCCTAAACTAGCCCAAGTTCCTAGAAACATAAAGATTTGATTCTGAGAAAGAAAAGTTACTCAGCCTATTTGGTGATGATGTTGTTAAATGGATACAACATAACCCCAATCCCTAGCATATACTCTGAGATACCACTTGAAAAGTGACAGATCCAGCCTGGTTTGTTATCAGATTGGAGTTGGCATAGTCATAAAATTTGTTGTGGACTTCAGTGATGTTCTGTGGATCCTTGGAAAAGCGATCTGACAGGCTTAGAAAGGACCCAGGCTAGTGCTGGGAGCTGTCACATAGCTCCCTCCTTGCACCTGATGCAGGCCCATGCAGCTGTGAAGTCAGGTACACTTATGGTCTGCTCTGTGAACCAGGTTTGGTTCCTATTGTGAGATGGTAGCCACTTTGAAGAGGTTTCTGTTCCATCATTTCAAAGCCTGTTCCTTTAGAAAACAAGAATTAAGGCTGTCAGCTAGCATGGATTTTAGGTTATACTCTGCACCTGGTTATCCTTTGCTTCCTTACAAGCCATTGTGCACGTAGAGGATGCTTGGTGCACATAAGTGTCAATGTTTTACGTGAGTGTGTGCTTTGTGCATACATTGGACCCTTACTGGGATGGGCACAGCCAGGTGTGTCTCCATATTTTCCCCACAACTGAGACCAGCACACATGTTGTTGCAAATTCAGCAATCCATCTGCCATCTTGTGGTTTATTACTGTCCTCTGGTATATCAGCCCCTCAACACCGTATTGGAGATGTGTTTATAGACTATGAATGTTTCAAATACAAAGATGGACTTGCAGACAAATTTCTGAACCTCAGGTACAAATCTACACAAACTGATACAGAATAAAGTATGTGCCATTATAGACTTCCAAGGTGGAATAGCACTGTTTACAGGACTAGAAGAAAGTTATTTACATTTCCTGTTTGTTCTTGGGCTTGGGGTCTCATGACCAGTTTTTGGCCTTTGAGCACTCAGCCTTCATACTCCTAGGCTAGGAACAACCCATTGTCAGATCTAGCCACACAGCCTCAGCCTTTCTGCCCAATTGCTGTTTTCTAGAGATACCCACCTAGGCTAGCTCACACCCTGGTCAGTACAGTCCTTTTTGCTCTAGTGGTATAGCAGCATCCTTAGCCTAGTTGTGTCCACCCTACCTTGTCCCCAGCAAAAGAAACCAGCAAGGCATATTATAAATGCTTCTCTTTGTCATTATATAGGCAGTGCTGCAGAGAATGCCAATTAATGTAATGCATGGTGTCTGAATTGTTCATAAATGGCTTAAAGTTAGAATTGCTGTGATTTCACTCTATTCTCATCTAAATCTTAAAATGAAAACAAATGTCCTTTGCGAAAACTTTAAAAACTGTTCCCATAGCCTACTTATCATTAACTGCCACATTATTTTGGCTGGGTACCTAAATTTAACTCCTCTCTGCTACTTTCCAGAGGCATGGTTATTGTACCTTGGGAGAAGCCTTTAATCGGCTAGACTTTTCAAGTGCAATTCAGGATATCCGAAGGTTCACTTATGTGGTCAAAGTAAGTATTTTGTTTCAAAAACTAGTTTGATGGCTCTTTGAATAACTGTGTTTTGAAGGGTACAGAAATGAAATGTTCAGGGTGCTTTGGGTAGCTGCAGAAAGGTCTGCCTATTTGTTATGTGGGAAGAAAAAAGGAACAAGCGCAGTAGAAAATAAGGGTTTGGGTTTCCTCACATCAGTTTAACAGTTTAGGGGCCTCTATTAGGGCAGCCCTCCGTAGCTGCCAAGCCTGCCTAGGCTTTGAGGGAGCTAACAGTGCTGTGGTGTCTCTCCTTGGACCTACCTCAGACCCACCCGGCCTCGGACCTACTGGGCCTCAGGAAGATCCCAGCTTTGTCTGTGACTTCACATGCATTTTCCACTTCATGATTTCTACAGAGAATGACCTTCATTTTACAGAAGAAGAGCTAATAGAAAAAAAAAAAGGAATTTTATACAACACACAACTCCACAAAACCCTTGTACTAGTAATGTATCTTTAAGTAAAATTTTTATTTTGGGCTGTATTTAGAAGGAAAGGATCTGAGCCATATGGTGCATTCACAGTTTGCCTTTGTTTGTCTAGAGATTAACTACTATGTGGTTTGTTCATCTTCACTGTGTTGTAGATAAAGTTCAAGTCATGCTTTACCATCCTGTTAATTTTACATTTTTAATGGTGCTGTGGGACACTGAAAAGATTTTTTTCTTAATGGCTTTTGGGCATTGAAGTTTTGCTGGAAGGATGAAGTCTTGATGCCTGATCGGCTGTGGCCGCTGCTGGCTTTGCCGTTTGCTGTGGCTCATTCTCCCCAGCCAAGGACATGGTATCTGCAGCTCTGCATGCAGCTGCATTGGGCGGATTGCCATTTTTCTCTTGAGTTCTTGTGGATAGGGTGAGAGTGACTCCTCAGGTATCTCTATCTTGGATGGTAGAACTGAGATTTGACTTCGCTCGTTCAAAATGTTCAGAATTAAGTGGCAAGAAGTACAGGCCAGCAGAAAGATGTTTCTCCAACAGCTCTCAGTTTCTCTTGAGTGGCATTTCTTGAGATTTCTGTTGTTAAGCCCAGGGTAGAGGCCTATCTGGCAAGGAGCCACTAGGAGGCCCTAGTAGAAAGAAGACACTGCCCGCACGTGCCATGCTAGAGACTGGGATACATCTTTTCTACTCTGTGGCCCTGGGGAAGGTCTGAATGGACAGTATTTGGTGTAGGGCACTCTGTAGACCAGCGCCAGGGTTTATCAACTTCAGCCACTAAGTCATGTCAGGGCTTTTGTTTTGTCTGCATACTATACATTTTTATTATTTACTGAGTAGCTTTTCTTTAAGTCAACTTTGAAAACAGAAATACCCATCTTAGCTTCATGCTAAACTGTAATACCTCTAATTTAAATATGCTGTTTCCTAAAGTAGGCATATCTTAGGAACACAAGATAGCAGAATTACAAAGTCTGTATATCTTAATTTCACTTGTTTGGGAAATTAGCTTGAAGACATCCTCTGTCCTTCAGGTGGATCAGTGAGGGGGCATGTCCAGGGTCAGGCACCTCAGGTTTGTAGTTTTGGTTTGGCATCTAATCCTTTCTCACCACGCTTATGTTTTTTGTTGTTGTTGTTTTTTGTTTTTTGGTTTGTTTTGGTGTCACTGTAGATGTAGTTGGTCACTCTTTAGACTTTTATGTTCCTGGGAATCACCCTAGTCCTGGTCCCTTTAGCCCCAAATGCTCCTTCCTATTTTCCAAGTGCCTCAAAGATTTTTTCATTAATGCATATCCATTAATGAGGCTGGAGAGCTTAGAATAACATGCTGGGTGAGAACATATAGTTATGTGCAAGTTTTTAAAGACATTTCAGGTCTCCCCTGAGGACTGCCTGGTAGCCACAGCTCTGCCCCCCCCCCCCCCGCCCCCATTGTGGTGAGAACAATGGAGTTGGATGTTGTGTGGAAAGCCATGCAGGGCAGTGCTTCCACAGACACACTGGGGTCTGAATTCCTCTCCTTTTCTTATTCACCCACCAGAGACCTCAGGCAAGTGACTGTACCTCCTCACCTTGGTACGGGGTTTTAGGTTCCCTCAAGGACTGTGGCGAATTTAGTCAGTAGAGCCTGGGGGACAGACTGCACTCTGACGATATAGGCAAACCTTTGCCTACAACTGAGGGGCAGAAGAGGAAGACAGAGACCAAAATAGACTGTACTGACACCAGGTGAGGCTTTTGCTCTGACCTCATGTATTTGTAATGCCATAAACTTACCTGGTAGAAATAAAGGGACCTCCTCGATGCATCATATGACATGTTCAAATAGTGACTCATCAAGTTAAAGGAAACCACTGAAAAGGATGTGTTTACAATTTCTGACAGTATTGCTAAGCCTTTGCTTTGTTGGATCTGTCTTAAGGGACACAGTTGAACCTGATGTATTGCCATATCATATGAACTGGCTAGCAGGACACTAAATAATAAAATTTTGCCAGGAACTGGTACTTTGTCTTTTCAAGAAAAGGTATTACTTAAAATAGAGATAGTTATTTCTACTATTTTATAAAAGGATTCTTCACATAAAGTATCCTCTGATTTCCACTTAGCCTAATTTCTTTTATACAGAAAAAATACATAAGCACTTTTTCAAAATCATCTTTGTGAGTGTTGATTCCAGAATTGGCTGTAGGCTATTTAACTCCAGATGTTTCCTATAACTTTTCTTCCTAAGAAAATGCTGGATAAAAGTGTATTAGCAAAACACATTATGGCTCCTAAGAACAAGATTTGTTAAAGAGGAAGGATCGAAAAATCAGTTTTGAACCTGTGGTGGATTGACAACTGGTAGTCAACTTGTAACACTCAGCTGAACTTAATAAGCTTGGTGTTGGGTGTGGGAGGCCCACCTGAGGATTGTTGCCAGCAGCATAAGAGGCTGAACTAGAGAAGAAGAAGGCTGCTAGGAGCTGGTAGAAGCGGTTGGGAGCCTGTTGGAAGTGGAGAGAAGCTGTAAGGAGCTTTTGGTTTTCTTGGAGGAGCTTGTCATGCTGGCTTTCCTGATGAAGAAGCTCTTAGAGATGATGCCTTCATTGGAAATGCCTATCCCCTGGCTTGAGAGTTTTTCTTTAACCGAATTGAATCTGACTTTGGAGCTCTGGTGTGTGTAAGAAAAATTGAACCTAATTGATGGCTATGGTGGATAGGTTGTGCCTTAAAAGCTTGTTCCCCAGGTGAATATCCAAATCATATTTGAGATTTGGGCTACTATTAGTACATTCAACAAGTGGAAGGTGCCATCTGTATTTTTCTGTAACTCAGCATTTTTATCCTATCAAAAGATAATTTGTAGAATATACCTAAATGCAGAAACTAAGAATACTTTCATTAAAATTAAAGGTTACATGAGAGTTCAAGTTTAGGTAAAATGTAGTTCTTTCTGCCTGTGCTAGAAGTCTGCAGGGAAGATGAGAGTCAGAAGAGGTATTAAGCCAAGAAAGGCTCCTCAGAAACCCTCTGCTTGAGCAGCATGTGGGTGGTTTCTTGCCCACTGGCTTTCTTGGGAGAAATGGAGGAGGCTGGGCAGAAGCCCCAGGCCTTGGGGACCTGAAGGAGGCTACCGAAGTATTCCTAGGAAATCTAGAGACCACATAAGGGTAAGGAGGACCACCACAGTTCTGCTGCAGCCTGCTTTCACACAGCATGGGTTACATGCTTTTGTATGAAAGGCAGTAAAACGGGGGTACTTCAGAATCAGGTGATCACACCTGACACCATGGAAGGCTGTTCAGAGCTCTTCATTTTGCTCTACACACAGGGACTAGAGGCAGCCACGAGTGCCTAGTACAGACTCTGAGGCCACACCTGCTGTGGGCTGCTTCTCCACTTTGGCTCTTGGGTTTACACTTGTGTCCTCCTTCTCTGCACCTCCATTTTCTGATCCACATTGGAACTCCACCGTTGGAGTTGAAGGACAGCAGGAAGCCTTTCAAATAGTATCTTTGTAATTAGGGATCAGTGGAGATCTACCAAATATATCTAACTGGATCCAGAGTACAGATGGAGTGTAGGTGCTTCCCTGTGCCAGCAAGCGACACTACATGCTCTTGTGTGAGACTGCCTTCCCTTGTGCACCTTGCCTATCCATGGGACCAGATGTTGATAGGACTGACTGTGATGGTGAGAAAGCCCATGGTCTCCACATACCTGAGTCCTTCCAGCCCACTTGGCTTTATTAGCAACAGAGTCTGTCACCTCAACAACATGAATCCTTGTCTCTATTATTGGTTATAAACTGAGGCAGAAACAATGGTAAAAACAAGGAAGAAAATGAATAATAATCTGCAAATTTGAAGAGATGAGGGCTGAGGATGTAGCTCAGTGGTAGAGCACTTGCCTAGCGTGCAGTGTTAGGTTTGGTCTTGGTTTGGTCCCTAGCACTATACACGTATACACATACACACAGACCCTTGGTTTGGTCCCTAGCAATGTACACATACACACACACAAGGAACTGAACTAAAATTTTAGTGATCGGCTTGTCAGTTTTGTTTTATAGCCAGTGCCCTGAACTATGTGTTTCTTTGGTTACTTTAGTAGAGCGTACTTTTTATATAAACAGAAGTTACAAATTTTTTTTTTCAGATTATCATGGGAGTGTCATATTGGTAATGTTATTTGTGGCTGAATATGTGATTTTTAGCATTTTCTTTTCTACTTCTGGAAATCAACAGAAGCTGGAAGGAGATTGGAAGAGAGGGATAAAAAAAACCCTATTTTCAGAATTAGGCAAGTGAAATTTATAGGCTGTGAGATATGTAAGACCTCCCACCAGCAGCTAGCACTGGCTAGTCAGACAGAAGGGAACAAGAGTACTTGGTGACAGAGTCACAGTCTTTACCTGTGGTGGGTACGTGGGTGGGTGCTGGACTCCAGCTTCTAGTAAGAGCACAAAGTCCAGCAGAATGGCTGGCAGCAAAGGGCTTCTTCGACCCAGTTGTGGTGAGTGAGGTGGGCTGTGGAGTCACCTGTAGGACTGATTGTCCATGTGACGTGAAACAGTGCAGGAGAAAACTGGGGACAGGGAGGCCTGAACTCCTCTTAAACCCCTCCTGCAAAATAGAGGCTTAGGGAATTCCACTTCACCCAAAAGTAAGTATAAAGGAGGAAGCAACTTTGAAAAGCATGAATATTTTCTGAAGAAAATATGGAAAGAACAGTGAAGCCAATTAGTCAAACAGAACACCAGAAAAATATGTCCATGGAGCAGGATGGAAATCAGGACCCTATTTCATTATGAAGGAAAAGCAACAGGACCCTAGTATAGCAGTCGGTGAAAGCAGGCTCCAGGACAGACAAATAGATGTCAGTAAACCAGCAGATGACAGGGGACCTGGGCACCAGCAGACACAGGACAGAGGCTGCTGGGGGGCCTAGAAGGGAAAGACAGAGGGGGGGAGGTTAGGGTGACAGGGACAGAAGACACATGAGAACTAATAGGAGGGCTGAGCATCATGGTGAGGGGACCTGAGTGAGATGAGCACATCCATACTCGAGTCTTCAGGGAGCAGCATGGTACTGGAACTGGACAGGCTTCCTTCAGGTTTGAAAGGCTGTGCTGTGTGACCCAGATCAGTCTTGAGCAGGCCATATTCCCACAGAGTTACTTAGAAACCAGCAGACACAGGACAGAGGCCGCTGAGGGGCCTAGAAGGGCAGGTGGGATTAGGGAAAGACAGAGGGGTGGTGGTTAGGGTGACAGGGACAGAAGACACATGAGAAATAATAGGGCTGGGCATTAGGGTGAGAGGTTTGGCAGAGTGCTTAGAAATTTCTACATATGAAATCATGTCATCTGTAAACAATGACAGTTTGACTTCTTTCAGTCCAATGTGAATGCCTTTTATTCATTTATTTTTTCTTGCCTGATTGCTCTGGCTTGCCTTTGATGGAAGACTGTATTTCTGATTGAGTGTGTCTCTTCAGGTTTTCTGTTTCCTTAGTTTCAGTCTTGGTCGTTGTATAGGTGCAGGGATTTTTCCCTGGGTGGTCCAGTTGGAGGAGAGTTGCTTATTTCTAATGATCCATCTGTGTGCTCAAGTTATATTGCTTCCTTTTTCAGCCCATTCCTTGGCAGTCATGAGCATTTTTGAGGATGTTAGCTTCAGCCAATCAAGAGATGGCTGGGGAAACAGTGGGCGTGGACACCAGTGCTAGCCAGTGCTTCAGCTGTCCACCAAGATGAGAGCACATAACAGGACAAGGGTGCCAGGGAAGGATGGGTCCTGGCCGTGAGGCCACAGCAATACCACCAGGGAGGGAGACAGAAGAGGTGGCTAGAAGGTTCCCACTTGTTGCCTGTGATTGCCAAGGGAGTGATGTTCACAAAAGTCAAGCTGTGGAGTGGAGGAGAGAAGGAAGGGGCAGTTTACCATGAGGGGAGCAGTAAACCGACGTACCTCATTGAGATGCCCTGTCTGAGGCTCAGGAAGGTGAGACAGCCACACAGGGTTGTTACAACAGTATCTCCAGGACAAAACAGTACAAACTCTCCTAGGTTTTAAAAGAACTGCAGAGAGAGAATGAGGACTTCTTTTTAAGTTACAAAATCAAGTAATACAGTGAAGACTGAACCTGTGTTGTATCAATGTATGTGAAAGATTTCCAGACTAGAGCAGCACCCAAGCCCAACTCCCAAGTTGTGTGTGGGGAGTGTCCAGAGTACGGAGATTCACAGAGGTAGAGATAAAAGGATAGGGAAGGCATGCTGGTCAGGTATAAGTAGTAGTGCCATGAGATGGAAGGAAAAACACAGCTCATTTGCATTGTCAAAAGGCAGTGAACAAGCAGTGGACATAGCAGAGACCCAGGACTGCAAGAGGCGAGGCAGGGATCAATGTGGGTACCCTCATTTCCTCATGAGGAGACCCATCATGTATAGGTTCAGTCACCATGTTCTGTTGCTGGTCCTGAGGGTCCTGTTAGGCATTTGCAAACCCTGGCCACAGGACATTTGAACAGGTTGGGTTGGGATTTACTTTGGCTTTTTTTGGAGGGGCGGGGGTTCTCCAGGTAGAAGAGCCTTATAACCTTTGCAAGTGAGTCTGGGCATACAGTGATGCTGGAATATTTGAATTAGTTTCATAGTTAACTAATTGCTTAGCTACCTGGTTCCAGAATTGACAGCTGTGGTTCACTTGCGCGGAGTGCTGCTATGCACAGAGGTTTAGCACCATCTCTCAGGCTTGTAGCAGGGACCTTGTGCAGGGCTGGAAAGCTGGAGATGTTGGTCCCATACAAACTTAGCTGGGTGCCCGCAGCTGGGTGCAGGTAGATGCAGCAGCCTGTACTTGTGGCATGTCACCATAGTATATGTTTCCATATTAAATGAATTTCTACAGAGCTTAGTTTTCTTTTCTCTCTTTCCTTTAAGCTGTTGCAGCTAATTGCAAAATCCCAGTTAACTTCATTGAGTGGTGTGGCACAGAAGAATTACTTCAACATTTTGGATAAAATCGTTCAAAAGGGTAAGATGATCATTGGCATTTTTAATAATCCAAATCTTCATTAGAAATTTGGTGCAAAGAAAAGGAATTTTTCCTTCATTTTTCCATAGTAGATAATGGAGCCAAAAATAATAATGCAAATACTGTGAGTGCATCAGACAGGACGGCAGCTCATTCCTTCAGCTGCTAAAGCTTGGTGTGCCTGCTAGTTCCTTTTTAAAAGTTGCCTTTGCGTACACATGGATATATTATGACTGGAACGATCGTGAATTCCAGACCTTTTTTGTGGTGAACAAGTCGCTGTTCATGGAGCTGCCTGGTTCCATAATGGGCAGGACTGGCTCACTGGTTTAGGCGTGAGACACACCAGTATTTTAGGAAAACGTAATGGTTTTGCCTTGGTTAGTAGCTATAAGTAAGAGAACTGTACATTTTATGCCATTAGCTTATGTGCACATACGGGACTTTGTAACTATGCGTAGGCCATTTCAAAATATTTTCTGTGATAAATACAAAAGAAAGTAGATGCTGAGAATTGTAGACCCAACTGAAAATTTACCATCAGATGAAATGTTAAAGTTTTTAAAAATGTTAGTATACCTGTGGTACCTCAAAAATGATGCCACTTTGGATTGTAGTGAGATTAAGTCCTTGTGGTTTTTTTGTAGTAAAGTATATGTAACATAACATTTACCATTTTAAGTGTACAATTCAGCAGCATCTCATGCATTGCATTGTACATCTATCATCACCTTCCACTTCCAGAATATCTTCATTGCCTGCAGCTGAAACTGCACCATGGAGCAGTAATCCACAGTTAATCCTATCCTTATACCTGGAACCCACCATTTTATGTTCTGTCTCTGTGATTTTGACTAATCTAGTGACTGGCTTATTTCTGGCACAAGATCTCTTCAGAGTTCATCCATGTGTAGTGTGTGTCAGAACTTCCTTCCTATTTCTTTATTTTTAAATTTTTATTTATTGATTTCTTTTTATTTTTTGAGACAGGATTTCTCTGTGTAGTTCAGGCTGGTCTTGAACTCACTATATGGCCTTGAACTTATGAGACCAGTGATCTTCTGGTCTCAGCTTCCCAAGTGCTAGAAGTACAAGCATGCCACATCACACCTAGCTTCCTTCCTTTTTAAAGTTGAGCAATATTCCATTTCGTGGATGGACTACATATTGTTTTCTAGTTCATCTGTAGTGGACACTTGGTTTGAGACGCTAGATCCTTTTCTAAGTGGTGGTTCACTGTGCCAACGCACAGCTTTTTGTTCTTTCTAGTTCTTGATGACCACCAGAACCCTCGCCTGATCAAAGATCTGCTGCAAGACCTGAGCTCTACCCTGTGTGTGCTCATCAGAGGGGTGGGGAAGTCAGTGCTGGTGGGGAACATCAATATTTGGATTTGCCGCTTAGAGACTGTTCTCGGTTGGCAGCAACAGCTACAGAATCTTCAGATGACTAAGGTAAAAATTTCTTTTTATAAATATATTCTTAATTTTAATTAGCACAGTAGTTTTATATATTCATGGGGCACGGTGTGACTTCTTTTTTCTGGTCTTTTTGAGACAGGGTTCCACTATACAGTTCAGGCTGGCCTTGGACTCACTTTGTAGCCCAGGGTAGCCTCAAACTCACAGCAATACTCCTGCCTTAGCCTCTGAGTGCTGGGATTACAGGTGTGTACCACCACGCCCAGCCTCAGTGTAACATTTTAGTACATATGTGCAGTGTGTAATGATCATGTCAGAGTCATTGGCATCTCTGTCCCCTCAGACATACAATAGCCATTTCTTTGCTTTGGGAAGATTCAGATCCTCTCTGCTATATGTTTTGAAGTATTCAATTAATTGCTGTCAACCATAATTACTCTACTCTGCTGTAGACTATTAAAAATTATTCTTCCTGTCCAAATATACACCCATAGTTTCAAAATAACCATCTATTAACTATTAACCATCTACTATTATTAACCATCCTCTCTCCATCCTTCCTCCCCATCCAACCTTTCTAGGCTCTGGGACCCATTAGTCTATTCTATACCTTTTTGAGCTCAGCTTTTTAGCTTCCACATATAAATGAAAACATAGGGTGTCTTTCTGTGTGCAGTTTTATTTGCCATATCCTCCAGTTCCATCCATGTGATGTCAGTGACAGGATTTCATTTTTTTTGTGACTGAATACTATTCCATTGTACATAATACCACTTTTTCTTTACTGATTCATCCACCAGTGAGCATCTAGGTGGACTGTTACATCTTGGCTTTTTGTTAATAGTGCTGTAGTAAACCTGCAATTACAAATACATCTTCTGCATGCTTATTTCAGTTCCTTCAGATATATATCCGATAGTGGAACTGCTGGATGGCTATTTCTAGTTTTGTGTGTTTTTGTTTTTGTGTTTTTTTGTTTTTGTTTTTCTCCGGTACTGGGAATCAAACTCACGACCTTGCACTTGCCAGGCAGGCGCTGTGCCGCTGAGCTAAATCCCCAGCCCCTGGATGGCTGTTTCTGAAGGTTTTGTTTTGTTTTGTTTTGTTCTGCTGGGTTGTGTTGTTTGGTGTTTTTAAGGTACCACCAAACTTTTCCATATACTTGTACTAAATTACATTCCCACTGTATATGAGAGCTCCCCTTTCCCTGTATCTTCACCAGCATTTGTTATTTTTTGTCTTTTTTAATAATAGCCATTTTACCTGGGTTGAGCTATCTCATTGTAGTTTTTTTTACCCCTGATAATTACTGAGGTTGAGGGTTTTTGTTTTTGTTACTGTGTTTTTTTGTTTTTGTTTTTGTATACTTATTGTTTTGTATACTTTTTGTTTTGTATACTTATTGTTATTGAGAAGTGTCTCTTCAGTTATTTTAGCTAATTTTTAAATTGGATTATTTGAGGTTTCTTTACTGTGAATTGAGTTCTTTATATATTGTGAAAATTCCTTGTCAGATGAATAGTTTGAAAATGTTTTCTACCATTCTGTAGCTGTAGACTTCACAGAGGTGACTGTTGATTGTTGCCTTTGTTCTGCAGAAGCTTTGAAGATTGATATAATCTGTTTTATCAATTTTGGCTTTTGTTGCCATCCGAAAAAACCTTATCTTGTACCGGTTTCTTGAAGTGTTTCCCCTGTTTTCTTATAGTAGTTTCATATTTCAGGTATTTAGGTCTGATTCATTTTGAGTTGACTTTTGTATATGATGAGAGGTAAGGATCTAATTTTAGTCTTATGCATATGGATACCCACTTTTTCTAGCACCACGATTGAAGAATCTTCTGTTTATCTAACGTGTTTTTGCTGCTTTTGTCGAGAATCAGTTGGTTGTAAATATGTGGATTTACTTCTAGGGTCTCTATTTTCTCCCACTGGCCTGTGTGCCCGTTTTTATGGCATTAGCACCCTGTTTGATTACCGTCACTCCCCACTATCCGATATTGGGACACCTCCAGCTTTGTACTTTCGTTCAGGGTCACTCTGGCTATGCAGGGACTTTTGTGATTCCATGCACATTTCAGGAGTGCTTTTTTTTTTCTCTTTTTGCAAAGAATGTCATTGGTATTTTGGGAGGAATTGCATTAAGTCTGTAGATCATTTCGGATGGTATGGACTTTTTTGATAATGGTGATTCTTCTAATCCATGAACATGAGAATTCTTTCCCCTTTTTTTCTTTCTTTTTTTATGCCTTTTTCAATTTTTTTTTTCACCAGTGTTCTATAATTTTCATTATACAAAACATTTATCTCCTTGGTTAAATGTATTTCTATGTATTTTATAAATTATTTATTTAAGCTGTTATGAATGGAAATACATTCTTGATTTTTTTTTTGATCTAAAATTATTATACCCTTTTTAATATTACAAACGACATTATCTCTGACAAAGATATGTGAAGCTTTTGAAACCTTTTTTTTTTACCCTTTCACAAGTATTAATTAAATTGTTTTAAAATGAAAAAGAGCAAAAGACCCCTCAGTAGCTACAGTTGTTACTGAAAGAGTGGGAATGGTGATTGTTAACCCCATGGGTAATCACATGTTAAACTAACTTACCTTTAAACAAAATTAAGTGTTTGAGGCTAAAATAACATGTAAATTAAAGCTAAATTGTATTGCCAGTAACTCTCACTTTACTTAGTTGCTTCTCCAGAATTAGTTGTCCTTTTTTTTTTTTCTTTTTCTCTTCTTGCTTGCTAGGGGTTTGCTCTGTGTGTGTGTGTGTGTGTGTGTGTGTGTGTGTGTTTCTTTAGAAATAGTGAATAAGTTAAAAAGTAGGTACACAGCATATCAATTGTATGTAATGCTAGTACCAAGAAAAATGTGTATATCACTGAACAGTCTTTGTCTTACGTCCCCTTGTAACTATGCGAAAAAGAATAAGCTTAGGTATATCCTCATAGTATGAGTTACAGCATGTCTCGTATACACCTGATTCTCCAAATTATTCTTCTCATTGGGCCTATGATTTCCTTTCTCTTTGCCCCCAACAAGCCATACGAAAGGAGTCCATTGCAGGGACACTGAAATAGCTAAATTTTGGTCATTTATTTGCCAACTAAATATGGGACTTAAAAAGAGTAGTGATTCCTTAATTTACTGACTTGGGAAACAGCCAGTGTTCAGGGCTCCCCTTCCCCATGGACACAAAGAAAATCACTGTTCAGGGCACCCCTTCCCCACGAACGTGGGAGATGACCAGTTCGCTGCATGGGTGCTTGCCACACCACAGTGGGTGGGCAGATCCAGCCTAGGGGGCACACTGTCTGCATCTCCATGTTGCAAAGCATGTTTGCCAGCTCAGCTGTTCCATTTCTGTGTGAACAAAGCTACCATCTTTCCTTCAGCACGTGAACAGTGGCCTCACCCTCAGCGACCTGCCCTTGCACATGCTGAACAACATCCTGTACCGCTTCTCAGATGGGTGGGACATCGTCACTCTGGGCCAGGTAACGCCCACCTTGTATGTGCTCAGTGAGGATAGACAGCTGTGGAAGAAGCTGTGTCAGTACCACTTTGCTGAGCAGCAGGTAAGCGTGTTAGGCCACCTGGGCCCACTGGGCAATCAGAAGGCGTTGAGATTGCTATGGGCTCTCTTCTATCAGTGCAAGGTTTATTTTCCATATTCAAAGAGAACATGCTTCTGAAAATAGCCAAGAACCAAACAGCACAGCCTGAGCCATGTTCTCTATTCTGCCTGTTGGTGACAAGCTCCCCAGATTTCCCTGCATCAGCCTGTCATCAAGCTGTATGTCCTGGAGAAGTCCTATAGTTCCAGGAGCCTTGGTTCCCTGTCCTCCCTCTTGAGTAGACTTCACTATTCTTTGTCCATAGTGAATCTCTGCTCTGCTTGTGCTGACTCTTGCCCAGCGCACATGCAAGGTGCCAGATGTGGATCTGTGTAAGGTGTGACAAGTGCCATGGGGACACAGGATGGAACTGTGCACTCTCATGGGGCAGGGTAGCTCTCATCAGAGACGGTCTCATGGTGAAAGGTATCCTGAGCTAGAGGGGCACCAGGCAGCCACTGAGCCTCTAGGTATCCTTGTTCAGTACTCTCAGTGTAGCCAGTGTAGCAAGTGGAGTGTACCACAACTGTTCTTGCTTAAACAGACTGGTGTACAGAGGACCCTTTACAGGATATCTTGGAAAGGGAGGATGGTAAACAGGGAAGACCTCCATGGGCTAGGGCAGGAGGATGCAGAGGGGACTTGGAAGAATCCCAAGAAGACACCTGGCAGAACCTCGAACAGGTGCAGGAACGACCCCAGGACAGTAGGTCTCAGAACCACTAGGAGGGCCCACTGGGAAGAAGAGTGTGTTCCCCTATCTGAACAGGAAGGTGGAATTCTAAGTCAGCATTGGAAAAGGGAGAGCAGATGCTTGAAGGGAGGTACACCTGTGGTGGGCCTGTGCATCACACAGTCACCCTAAGACTGCCTGCCCCTGGACACAGATGCTTGTAGGGAGAGAAGTGAGGGCTCCAGTCATGTCTCACTTAGTCTTGCCATGAACAGAGGTGCTGGCCAGAGCAACAGATAAGCATTTAGCCCTTCAAATCTCAAGCCCCTTGAAGGACTCTTTCATAAGGTTCATGTCCCATAAGAAGTTAGGTTGTTTGGCAGTTAACACCTAAGGTGTTAGCTCGTCTTGTTGGTACTACACCTTTTCTTGACTGAGTTAGGAAAATACAGCATCCAAAAGATAAGTATCTATTCTTCAGAGCCTGGTAACTAATAGCAGGATCCTGAAAAAAGACAAACATTAGAATCTCACTCCATGAAAATGGCAAGCTTGGCAAGCACCCTTGTGAAAATCAAATGGTAGAAGGAAGGAGCTCGGGACCGTGTTCTAAAATGGTGCTGGAAGGGCCTGCTGACCAGTCAGGCTCAACTCAGGCACTGTGGATGTGCGGGGCTCGAGTGCGGAAAGATCACAGGCAGCTTTCTAGGAGAAGAGCATCAGAAGGATGGGCACAAAATCAGTGTGAAGGAGCTGAGAATGCAAAGCTGATTTTGTCCCCAGGAGCCGATGTGTCAGCAACATCTGGGAGACAAAGAGATTGATGGAGCCAGGTCTGTAATGTCTTCCCTTCACTTTTTAGGCTGTCTTCCTCAGATTTGATTAGGAATCAGATTTTCTCATAGACTCCATCCTAATTTCCAAGTCTTCAAAATCCATGACCACCCCCTCCTATAGGACATTCTGCAAGTGATAGTTCTTGGGTATGAAAAGCAGAACATGCTCACTGCCGCAGTAGATGAGACGCAAACAGCCTGTCAGAGCCCAGCCACCCACCCGCTGCAGACCTTCATGAGACTCAGCAGCCAGATGGCTGGACACTGTTCATTAACTCTGTTAGGGTACCATCCTCTGACAGCCGTCACTGTAGCTGATTTCGGGACATGGCCATCACTTGAGAAGGAACTTCATTCTGGGGCTGTCACCCCACCAGCCTGGAGCAGCCCATATCTGCTTTCTCTGGAGAAGTCCCTATTTAGTTTTTGGCTTGAGTGGAGTACATACTGTTTGTCTTCTTATGCCTGGCTCCTTTCCCTTATCACCATGTTCTCTAGGATCCACAGGGTGTTACGAACCAGAGCTTCACTCCTTTCGAGGCTCTATAATATTCTACTCTGGATACACCACATCTTGTGTACCCTTTCTGCAGCTGGTGGACATCTGCTTTGATTCCATCTTATGGCTATCAGGAGCACTACTGCTGTATGCATTTCTCTGTGCTACTGCTGTGTGGGATGAGTTCCCAGGAGTGGAGTTGCAGTTCAGACTGTGGCCTATTTAATGTTTGGGGAACTGCCAGACTACTTTCTACCCTGCAGCACTGCTCAAGGTGCCCAGCCCTCAAACCCCCAAGCACTGGCTTTGACTTTCTTTTACAGCTGTCCTTGTGTGTGGAGTGATGTTATGTTCCAGTGCCCAGATGGTGGGTTGTGGGCACCTCTTCCTGAGATCACTGCATACCTCTGTGTCTTCTTGGAGATATCTTTTCAATCCTGTTGTCCATTTTCATAGTGGGGTGTGTTATTTATATATTCTACATATAAGTCACTTACTAAATATATGACACAAATTATGAGTTACTTACTTTAACTTTATGTGTCATGGCATGATTCCAGAGCCAAGTTTTCAGATCCATCTCACAGCTGTTTAGTATCATATATGTACACTGATTATTTGACTTGTCCCATGTTGACTTAATCCAAGTAAGCTTGATTTCAAATAGTTAAATGTTTTATGTACTATACTGCCTTTTTGAAAATAGTTTTGCACCTAATTTTTATATGAAAAAAAATAAAATTTCAAAACGAAGGGAAAAGGAAAAAAAATACATATAATGTTATGTTTTGAAAATCATCAAGTTCTGAATAGAACTTTGTTTCTTTAGTTTTGTAGACATTTGATCCTTTCAGAAAAAGGTCATATTGAATGGAAGTTGATGTATTTTACACTTCAGAAATATTATCCAACTAAAGAACAATATGGAGACACCTTACAGTTTTGTCGGCACTGCAGTATTCTTTTTTGGAAGGTAATAATTTTAAATGTACTCTTGAAATTTGAGGGTTGGAATTGGGTGAAACAAACTGTTCACATGTATTTAAAACGGAAAGGTAAGAAAAAGTAGAATATTGCTTATGATGAGAAAGCTAATGACAATTATTTCACCATATATTGGGGTGGGAACAGGTGTCTATAACGTGTGCATCTTGTGTCTTGAGTCAGCAGTGTTAAAAGCTGAAATGCAGGGCATTTCTTCTTGTGAGTACACCATCTCCCTCTCGTGGACATTAGTATGTAGCAGGCACTGAGGGAGCAGGGTGGCCTGACAACTCATCCACTGCTGCCTGCATTTGGCCTCTTATGTCCTGTCTTTTTTTTTTTGGTTTTTCTCCGGTTCCAGGAACCGAACTCACGACCTTGCGCTTGCCAGGCAGGCGCTTTGCCACTGAGCTAAATCCCCAGTCCCCTTATGTCCTGTCTTAACAGGCCCACTGTCTGCAGTGACCAGGATACACCTCAGTTCCCGAAGCATATGCTTAGAGCAAGGGGCCATGCAGACATACAGGCTTCAAAATAAACCTACACTGTTCTTACTTAGTTGATCAAAACTAAAGACTATCAGCACTTATCTGCAGGTAACAACTTAGAAACATCTTCAGCAATTTCTGTCTAGAGAGTAAATGGGGAATCTTCCACCCGCTGGCTTCCTACTAGTTGTTTTAAATCCCTTTGTCTTTAATGACAACAAGCTTTCCATGGTCAGATGTGGGCCCTGTGGACTGCTGCTTTAGTACAATGTGTTTCCTTACTGTGTTGACACTGTTTGTCATTGGAATGCATTTACATGGTTTGCCTGGTGTTTGAATATGTTTAATAGGATATTTTACTGGGGGAAAGCTTTGAAATGATGGAAGCTGGTACCTGGCGTGAGCAGACAGCCCTGAACCTGCTGACCCAGGCTGTCCTGAGGAGGGGCCCCTCCTTGATGTGTCCTCAGGTAGACAAGGAATGGGCCTTCTGAGTTTAAGGAAGTGAGGCTTTTGCTAGTAGACACCATCACCTGCTTTGAGTGTTTCTTTTGCTTTACATTTATCTAAATCCACTGTGAAGTCACAAAGTGAGTGCTAAACGTTGGAAAAGAGGGAACTGCTTTTAATTTTTTTCATTTCAAACTCCTATGAGAGAGTAGCTCTATTTATGATCCATGGCTGACCCAAGAACTGAAAGATGTTGAGTTTCTCTTGTATTTTTATAAGATTGGTTCTTTTTACTCTATCAGAGGTAAGCAGCATTATGAACAGTTGCTGATGCCTCCAAAAAAAAAAATCCATGAGGTTTGCTATTTGAGTTTTTGTTTTATATCTTGGTGTGACTCCTGCTGTCAGAATCAAAAATGGCAGGATACTCTCTCTCACAAACAAACAAGGACCATCCTAGACCCAGATTCATCCTCAGCCTTGGGCACATCTTCCTCTGTGCCCTCACTTGGTGTTGGCACCTGACCTGCCCTAGTCCTTCCAGGACCAGTGCACTGGCTTCTCTTCTGTCCTGTCACCTAGTTGGATGACACATTTATTTTGAATTCATTGCTTGTCTTCTTTCTCCTGAGCAGACTGTTTTATACTGTGGAAATTTGTTAAAGTCATAATGCTTCTGTCAGGGAAGACACAGCCATTGGACAGAAGGCTCTCAGTTTTATATGATTGTGTTTTTCCCAAATCAGTGCCTGAGTGTATTGGAGCCCTCCTGTTGGCTAATTAATAGACACACATACTCTCTCCATGGTGTCTGTGCTGTTAGGCAGCATAGGAATGTGTTACTTATTTCCTGAAATATGTAAGATCATTTTTTAAAATTAAACTCAGAGATGAGTTTTAGCTTTCCAAAAGAATTAGCCCGTCTTGCTACACATAATTATGCTGTGGAAATTTAGGATGAGCCCTGGTCTTCTGGTCTGGGATGCACTTCCAGCCTTGAGCGAAGTGATGCCACTCTCTGTTGTAGTGTGGTCCTAGGGACCTCTCAGCTCATCTTCCCTCACTAGACATCTGTATCAGTCAGGGTTTACTAGAGGAACAGATATAAAAGATAAACAAATGTATAAGAAATTATAAGTTTGGCTTATAATGGTCAGCTACAGAGTTGGATGAGGAAGTGTGCAGAGGGTGTCTGCATGCTAGAGATTGAAGAGCCCAGCCCCGGGCCTGGAGCTCACTGCAGTGTTTGTATAAGTCTGTATCAAAAGGCTGATGGGTCTGTGACAGAATGTTGAAGAATCTATGATGAAGGCAGGAGAGCCAACACTGGAAGGCTGAAGAGTCTCAGACGGAAGCCCAACAGTCTACACCACAAGCCAGAAGACGACCAAGCTGAAGGCGAAGACGAGCTCCTCCAAAGAACCAGCAGCCAGTCCTTTTTCAATTCCTTTTTTTTATGTAGTCTTCCCACTCTGGGGAAGTGGGGGTTGTCCTCTACACCAACACCCTCTGCATGCCTGCCTCTTGCACAGGCTCAGGATGAATACAAAGTAAGCACCCTGGACCCCTTCTGAGTTGCATAGTTAACCTTCTAAACTTCTCAGATTAACACAATCAACAACATCCCAGGAGGGTAAATTCAGGTCCTTTTTACCCCAAGATATAAAACTGCTGAGTCACTTAGCCAAACCTCTAGACTCCCCAAGTTGACACAGTGTATCAGCCATAGCAATATCCATGCAGAGGACCAGTAACACACATTTCTGCCTCTGAACCATAGTGTGAAGTATAAATAAGGGACGCCCTCTCCTGTTTTAGCTGCCAAAGCCATCAGTGGTCCCTGCCCAGGGCAGGAAGCCCTAAATATCTTAGGTGCGGCCACATGAAAGTGTGTGCTGCCTAGGAAATGGTGTCTGCTACTCTTCATTTCTTCAGCCTGTAAACTGAGACATTGAAGTCATCTCAGACCTGTTAAAAAGGGCAAGCAGGTGACTAAAGGTTAATGGCCTCAGCATGGATAAAAAGCCAGTTACCATGTTGGACATGGGGCCATTCTCCATACCCTGTCCTGCCGCCTGAGGCAGGTCTTTTTTGCATCTGTTCTGGGTCTGCTTTTTTGAAGAGTGATGCTTATACTTTCTCCTTGCCTTTGTGGCCTGCCTCAGTGACCCTCACCAGGTCACCAGGTGCTGAGAAAGGCAGAGTTAACAAGTAGGTGTTTTTATACCTCCCCCTCCCTGTTCCCTCAATGCACAAAACCCCAGTCAGACACTGTAGACTCACAGAGTTCAGCAAACCAGGATGAGGATTTGGCATTTCTGTGTCACTTCTTATCTCAGCATATCAGTTGCCAAAAGTAAGGCCAAACATCCAGCGAGGACCTTGCAAGCCCATGTGGCTGTCAGGAGCAAAGTTGTAGTGGGAACTCCAGACCCCACCCGGTTGTCCCCTGGTTTCTGATGAGTCATCTCCATATAAGCAGGAGTGGGGTCAGGAAACCCTTGCCATCTTCCCTGAGGAGCAGTGTCAGAGACAGGCTGAGGCTCCACTGTGGGGCACTGGGGTGTTTGCTGAACACCTGCTGTACCGTTTTCAGGGTGAAGTCAATGTGGAAAAATCAGCACTTCCTCCTACTCTGTCCATGAACATTTCTGAGGATTTTTCTGTGGCCCCATGATTTGTCCATTTGAGAAACTGAAAAGAAATGGGTTTTTCTCCTTGTTCCAAAACAGGGTATCTGATGATACCTTGTCTGCATAATATTTTGTATTGTCCAAATTTAGTTATTTGATATTTTTAGTTACTTTCATAAAAAATATACATCAAACCTAATTGTTAATTACTTCCTGCTCTTTGTAATCTGATTTCTCCTTTCCTTCCTTTGCTGCATTTCTTGCTGGTTCTTTTCTGCGCCATGTCAGGACTACCACCTTGCGTGGCTATTCAAGGTACTTCTGGGTCCCCATATACACATTTGCATCGCATGCTGCTCTGCCCCACCTGGCAACTCTTGCTGAGACTGTAGACCTGTCTGTCTCTGAAAGCTCGTTCTATAGGACATACACGGCCCCAGGCTGGGAACAGCAGCAGCCCCACATGGCCTTTGGGGATGGTGACAAATCTATCTCTTTTTTTCCCCCCCCTCTGATCCCTCAACTCTAAGTAATGTCAGATCCCTCACCCCTGCTGTGGGCAGTGGTCCTGGGTCTGATGAGCCCAGTGTGGCTGGAATGCACATAGGTGGAGGCCCCTGTGGCCAGAACAGCCCAGCTGGTGACAGAGGACTCAGGATAACGAGCAGCCAGGGAGGCAGACAGCAGTCTCCTGTGTGAGAATCCCCAACTCCACTGAGACAGTGCTGGGGCCACTATGTTGTAGTGTTTCTCACTGTTGAGGTGGGGCTGGGCTCCCTTGACTAAACGCTGTGACTTCTCTCTAGGTATGGCTGGCAGGGTTAGTAACAGTGTCTCCTGACCCATCTTTCCCCTGCAGGACTCGGGACACCCCTGCACCGCAGCTGACCCAGACAGCTGCTTCACACCTGTGTCTCCACAGCACTTCATTGATCTCTTCAAGTTCTGAAGACAGTCCTCACCATGCTGTCCCTGTTGGAGGCTGCGCATTGTGCTTTCTTTGTGGTATCTGGTAGTAGATGTTTCCTGTGACCAAAAGCCATGGCGGAGTCCCGGAGTCCCTGAGTCCCTCACATCCGGAAGGAACATGAGAAACTGCCCCTCGGCCACCACGTAGAGGAAGGCATTATTGAACATTTCCATCTCTAAAGGAGTCAGGAGATCCAAGCAAATCATTTCTATTTCTTTAAAACTTCTAAGCACATTAAAATTTGCAGTTTTGTATATTTACAAATATAGATCAAAAAAGATTTTGGAGCCTACATTCTGTGTTGGATTGACACAACCAACCAAGAATATGCTTCATAGTTGTCAGATTACAGTTTTCCATCTTACAGTAACTGGGGCACAAGATAAAACAACTGATCCTTGTAAATACATTGTGCAGAATATTTATTTTTCTTAAAATGTAATTTCACAACTTCAGTGACTGTGCCCATGTGAGTCCTCCTTAAGTCCAAGGTGAACCTAGGTTAACACTGGGCATTTTTGTCTTGGTGTTAACCCCCTGGGTTGTGAACTGTGCCAACTGTCCATAGTAAACAGTAGTTGGTTCTGTGATCCTGGGTACCCCTGCAGCCAGGAGCAAACTCTGGATAGAGCCTCTGCTGTGGAGGGGTAGGACAGCCCAGCGAGGTCTGCACTGGACTTGGGTAGAGGGTGCTTCCAGAGACAAGAAACAAACCATGTCTAGTTGTTGATTCCACTTTGTCTGTTTTGCATCTTACTGAGAAAAGTGCTGTTAGTGATTTTTGATATCATTTAAGCCTTCAAAAGATTGTCATATTTTTTAAATAATGCATGTCCATTTTAGAAAGTCTTAAAAATAAAATATAAAAAAAAATTAAAATCACCTATAATTCTACCATACAAACATAGGTTGCCCTTGCTAAAAATACAAGAAATTACCCCTCAGCATTTGTAGTGTAAATATGTTTCATGGTATACTTCATCTTTGAATGAGTTGGGTTTCCTAACAAATTGTTTAAAACTTTTATTCTAAACATATTAAAATTTCTAAACCTACCAGTTTGTAAATGTTGATCAAAAAAGATTCTGGATTTTCATCCCTCCTTTTGTACTGAACAAACACAAATGACTAAGAATTACAACTTCCCTCAGGTGCAGCACAGACACCAGGGCCACTGTGTGAACCCCTGGAGTAAGTTCTTCAAAAACCATAAGCAACTTGTCTGCCAATTTATAACCAGGATCATCTGCCTGCATCTTACACATGACTTGGAAACACAGTTTTCACTGGCTGCAGTTCACAGGATGGTACAGCCATATCTGATATGGTGACCAAGAAGCATCACTACACACTCTTAAGGCACCATGGTGACAGGTCACATTTCTCAGGGCTTTTAGTGTGTGTTTCCAGGTTGCCAGCCTTTCTGAAAGGGAGACTATTGAGTGTCCAGTTTTTGTGCAGCATGGATACTCTGTTCGTGCTCTTATAACAACTGGACATGATGTTGGTTTACTTACTGTGAGGAGGGGTGTTTCCTCTGTGTACTGATATTAAGGTGGGACATTTCATCTGTGTATTTATTGGCTATTTGTGTTTTCTGTGTGCTCTGCCTATCTTTTGGGGTGTTGTCTCTTTCATATTAATTTCCTCTTAGAAGGGTATTAACCTCTTCAATTTACAGTTCTTCCCATCAGTGGGTCATAACCTTTTAGCTGTTACAATGCTCTTTGTGCTATGGAATCACACATACCTGCATTTAACTTGTATAAATTGAATAATTTCTCTCCAATAAAAGTAACTACACTCAATACCTTTAGCCAGTAGGGAAGTGCAAATCAAAACTACATTAAGACTCCATCTCATGGCTGTCATCAAGAATGCTGGAAGAATGCAGGGGAAAAGGAGTACTTCTGCACTACTGTTAGGAATGTACATTGCATAGCCACTGCGGAAATCAGTATGAAGGCATTTCAGAAAACTAAAAATAGAGCTGCCCAATGACCCCACGATACCACTTGCTGATATTCCCTGTTTATGGGGATACTGGCATACCTGTACTTCAGTACAATTCACAAAGCCAAGACATGTAGCCAGCGTAGGTGCTCATTAATGGATGGATAAAGAAAATATGGTGTATACGTATGCACAGTGGTGTATTCAGCTGTGAAGAATGAAATTATGTCATGAACAGGAAAATCATGGAACTGGAGATTGTCCTGTTAAGCAAAATAAGCCTGACTCAGACAAGTACCACATTTTTCCTACTATGTAGAATTTTCAAAAAAAAAAACGAGCCATACTGAAGGTGTAGGGAGGACCTAGCCACTCCCCTCTGTGTGCTCCTGGTGAGGAGCTGCCCCTACCCGCTGTGCATGTTGGTGCAGCCCCACAGGTGAGCAGAGGACACCAGCAGGAGGCTGAAGAGTCAGGGCAGAGACAAGGGTAAGAAAGGCAGCCCCAAGGTGTGGTAGTCACTCACAGATGCATTTGAAGAGTACTTGTGAACATAGGTTCTGTTGGAGGGCCTCCAAAAGGAGGGTCCACCCTTACTGGATAGACTCAACTGTGACTCACATAGCTGCAGCAGAGGACCCCAAGAGCCCAGGGCCAGATGGGCCCACTCACTGCCACACTGGCTGTGAGGGCCACTCATAGCTGCCCCAAAAGCTGATGTTACACCCAGTTACAATTTCCCTTTGCCAGTTTTGAGATTCAGAAAGATGCGTTTCATACCTGATCTGTGAATACATGTGAGGAAGAAAGGACCTGGCCGAGCAGGTCAGGATGAGTTTAGTAACAGCATGCGTACACAGGCCGTTCAGGTCTTACACAGAAACTGGGCTGCTTCACAGCAATGTTTAAGGGCTTGACTATGCATAATCTTTGCCTGAAATGCTTTTAAAATCTGTCACGTAAGCTTAGGGTATTTTGATCTTTTATCCTGCAAACTTGTTGAAATACTGTGGACTCCTTAGGATTTACTATGTGTGCGAAGTCATGTCATCTGCAAATAGACATGGTTTTACTTCCTCCTGTCCATCTAGATACCTCTTACTTTTTTTTCCTTTATTTTCTGTTTGGTTTTTGTTTTTTTTGAGAGAGGGTCTCCCTATGTAGTTTGGGCCCACTCACTGTGTAGCCCAGGCTGATCTCAAACTCAAGATAATCCCCCTGCCTCATCTTCCCAAGTGCTGGGATATGTGCCTCCACACACCGAGCTCTACTTTTTCGTGCCTACCTTTCCTGGCTAGAGCTTCCTGCACGTACGAGTAGACAGCAAGAACTGGCTCATCTTCCTGATCTTAAGAAAGTGTTCTCAGCCTTTTCCACCAAATAGGACATCAGTTGTAGGTTTTTCATAGATACTATACATTGGGCTCAGGAAATTTCCTTCAGTTCCTAGATTGTTTTAATCATGAAGGGTTATGGGTTTTGTCAAACACTTTCTGCCTTTGCTGAGAAGGGTTTCATCCTTTCAAGCGTACTATGTTGGTTGATTGTTGTTATGTTCCTGGACTGAGTCCTCCTTGCTATGCAGGTCTGTCATATTATTCTCTTGTGATGTCTTAGGTTTTGATGTCAGAGTAGGAATAGCCTGACTGGATAGGCTTGGAAAGTGTTCCTTCCTGCTCGCTTGTTTCAGTATTGAGATTGACGCAGGACCTTTGCATTGAGCCACATCCTCAGCCTTTTTATTTTCTATTTTGAGATTGTCTTGCTAAATTGCCCAGGCTGAGCTTGAACTTGGGATCCTCCTGCCTCAGCCTCCCAGAATGCTCAGATTATAGGCATGTGCCACTATGCTTGGTCTTTTTTTTTTTTTTTTTCTTTTGGTGGCAAGAGTTTATGAAGTCTCTTTGTTTGTAGAAGTCCACCAAGCATTGACACCTCACTTTCTGTGTGTTTATTTGCATTTCCTTGTGGGACGTTTCTCCACATGATTCCCCTTAATAGGATGAGGCTATTTTTTTTACATATTTGGATTAAACCTTTTCTTTTTGTTGTGAAGGTCTAACAAAGCAGGTAAGTGGATGGTAAACCACAAAGAAGGATGTGACCTGAGCAGGACACACTGGCTGTTGTCACCACAGGCGACACATGCCTGACTCCACTTCCTGTCCCCAGATTCCCTACCTAGCCCAGTATCCACATGAAGCCCACAAGGTTCGCATGGGTGTGAAGAAAGTGTGAGGAGGCTTGCCTGACACGAAGCTGGCCAGCACCGTTGCACCCCTGTGCCACAGCGCCCTCAGCTGACCCTCATCTGCTCAAACAGAACTGCGCTGTCTTCACTGTGTCTGCTCAGAGGAAGAGGAGGCCCCTCTGCTTTGCAGAGAGGTATTCTGCCAGCCCTATCCTGCTGTCCATTTCTCTAGTTCTCTAAGGTGTAAATGTTGGTCACTGATTTGAGATAATCTATTTGAGATTTCCTCTTACCTCCCCTTTTGCGGCATTCTATAAGATGTACATTTTTATTTTAACTTGTCTCTAGATACATTTTAATTTTCCTTCTTCTTTGATCTATTGGTTAAGAGTGTGCTTAATTTCCAGATATTTGTGGATTTTTTGCTTTTCCATCTGGTATTGATTTCTAGTTTCACCTCACTGCAACCAGAATATTTTTCATTATTTCAGTTTTTTGAAAAGTAGTGAGACTTGTTTTGTGACCTAACATGCTGTCTATGTGGGAGACTCCATATGCTCCTGGACAGTGTGGGCTCACTGCTGGTGGTGCATGGTATGGGGGTCATAGCCTCCTCCTAATCTCTGGGTATACTGCTGAGGGGGTTGCTGGGGCCCCCCATATAGAGCTTCCCTAACCTGTCTTCAGGCCCTGTCTCCATCTCCCTTGTACTTTGTTGTAAGCTCCAGTGCTTAATATGTGTCCACTTGTTATATCTTCTTGATGAGTTTTCAGTGCTTTTAATTTAAATGGATGTCTAGGACTTCATAATTCAAACAAGACTGGTCAGGAGCCGACTGAGGCTGGAAGCATGAGTATGTACACTGTGTATCAGAGTCCAGACACTTGTTCTGAAGGATAGACAGTATTTGCAACTTCTTCTCCCCACAGAGATACACAGCAGCCACAGGCCATCCACACACATGAGCCACTCAACTGCATTCCCAGCTAACTGGATGGTACAATGTGAATTTCATGTTCTTTTGTAATCTCTCACCGTTTGAAAATGTAAAACTGTTTTGAGCTGTGCAAGGACAGGTCGCAGGCCTGGCCTGGGCCACAGGGTATAGTCTGCCAGCTCTGTCTTTCTCTCTTCTCTGGTACATGTTTGACATTTTCCATTTACAATCTTGCATGATTTTAAAGTACTTTTATACTTACTATCATTTTTATTGCAAAAATAATGTGTGCTCTTTGTAAAAAGTTTTTTAAAAACCAAAAAAAAATTTAAAAATATTACCCATAATTCTACGTCAGCATAACTACTCATAATTGATATAGCTTTCAAGTGTTTTATATTACTTTTTAAGACTCATAATATATTCCCAAGTAAAAAGTCAGAGAAACAGTATGCACTAGGACACAGCCCTCTCCTGCACAGACCCAGAGACTGGGGCTTCGTGTGTGTCTTCCAAGGAGTGAGCTTCTGTGATCACCAGTCTGGATCCCCAGAGAAACTCACATTTTCATGTGCATCTGCAGGGTGTCTCTGAAGATATTTTAATGAACAAAGCTTGTTACCATCTCCTAACTTATAGCACCAGTTCTAAAGTTTCCAGGGAGCTATTTGAAACCTTAATTTCTGAAGAGGAAAGAAAAGTCATTGCTCAAAAAGGTGAAAATAAAGCAAATAATATCTCACATCACATTTACTTCATCCAGATTTAGTTTCCTTGAAAATACTGTTAAATGATGTAAACTTTGTAAATTTTTAAATTATAAAAGTATTTCCCTTAAACCCCCAACATTAATTTTTCCTTAGTATGAAAATTCTTAAATAGAAGTAATTATGTAGGGACCAATATCATTACTTGTTTTGCAAACAAAAATTCTACCCAACCTTTTTCACTAAGTGGAAAATCTTATTTGCACTTCTGAAAACATGTGGAGGCATTAATTTCTGAAAACACCAATCCTTGTACATTGATACCCGCACAGAAGGGAGGCCATAGTCATGATCTGGGAGAGACATACCCCACCCCATGGTGTCTCAGCAACAGCAGCAGGCAAGGGTGTGGACAGCATAGCTCACAACCCAGGTGCAGTGGGCAGCAGAGCATGGCCACAGGCCCTCAGGAAGAAGATGACCCCAGAAAGGGCCAAGGCAAAAGCAGATTCCTAGAGCCACCTAAAAAACTCCCAGTCAGAAGGCTCCATCCACCTTCACCTTGTCATGCCCCAACCTCAGTGTCCAGAGGCCCTGTGCCAAGCTGATACCAGGTCCTTCCTATGCGCCAGGGTGGCCATCTCCTCTCCACCCTTCCCCTTCCAGGGCCTCTGCCCAGACCCAAAACAAACACTGGAAAACTGCCAGGGGATGACTGTCCACTCTATATATTTTCCTTCAGTAAATGCAAAATGCATTAGGAAACACTAGCTTTTTGCTTGTTTTTGTTTTTTGAGACAGTCCGTTACTCAGTCCAGGTTGGCTTTGAACTGTATTCCAGGCTGCCTGCATGGCCATGCTCACAGCTGCCATGTGCAGAAGAGCTCTGGTTCTGAGCTGCTTACACTTCCCTGTCCTTGCTCAGGAATTGGAGAGGAAGGTGCCCACTGAGACCCTAGAATAGTGGTGGCAAACCTATGGCACATGTGCCACAGCCAGCTGTTACTGAAAGCTCTGAAAGATTTGCCATCACTGCCCTAGAGCATGGACCAGCAGTGCATCAGCTGTGAAGGTACTCTGGTCTCAAGGCAGTGAGGATGGTTCTCATTCTTGCTGTGGTTTTAAACATTCATGTTCACCATAGAACTGCTAAGTCAGGAGGAAAATGAAGTTATCTCACTGGATGGACCCAGTGGCTGTGCAGCCAGCATCAGCCCAGGGAAATGGGTGAGTGTCCGGCTCAGCTGGAGCAGTATACAGGCCACAGGCCACAAGACCCCTGTGCCATGCAGTATGTGTGCAGCAGGGCACCTGGACCCAAGAGCTGCCCAGGACAAGATTTAACTGGAATTTAAGAAGTTTTTTCTAACTTGTAGGAAATACCAGGATGAGAGAATTACTAAATACCACAAAGAAAAAGTGGCATCATCTGGAAAAACCATGGGAAGAAGAATGCAGGCTTTCCAATTTTAAAAGATTTTGGAGATCATGGTACCTAGTTTAGGAGGGAAAAAGCAGCAAAAAGACCTTTTCCAGACAATTGGGGAACTTAAACGTGGCCTGCTATGTTTCCACATCCTTGTGGGTTTGAGGATACCATCCTGGTGATAGGATCTCAACTCTGGTAAAGACATAACTGGGCTGTCCACATCACCAGGATGATGGATTCCCCCATCAAAGGCCACCAGACCCCAGTGTACTAAGCTACACTGGACCAGCTTGCATTTTAAAAAATACAGACTGCCAAGATAATTGAGTGGCTAATGTAAATATTTTGTTATATCTCATGTTCTAAGGAGTCATAGCAGATAAATGAGAGTACAGGGTATTGACATTGGTAGGTGAAATAAATAAGGGTACAGGGTGCTGACATCGGTGAATAAAGTTTAGTCCACCACACAGACCCGGGACTTTCCCTGCCACCTGCAGAGGGCTGGGCTCTGCTTATTCTCCCTTGAAGTCCCCCTCCAAAACTTTGAGAAGTAGACAACATGGGACTGGCCTGGCCTGTTAGCTCTTGGCCATTATGACAAGCTTTCCAGAAGTCCAGGCTTCAGGGACATTATTTGCACTGCTGAGCTGAGGGACCATGACAGATTCCTGTTCTACATGTGTCCAAGCTGCTCACACCAAGTTGTTCTTGGTACCAGTTGATCTGTTTCTGCCTTTCCTCTACTACCGGAATGCTTGCAACCTGAGAAGTGGACATAATAAGTCCACTCCTTAAACCAAAAAGGTTCCCAGTGACACCCATAGAAACTGCTTGATAGCAGATGCTTTCAGTCAGTCAGGTTTCAGAGGAAGTCAGGAAAGACCTTTTCTGCAAACATAGCACCATTTGTGCCCTGAGATAAAGCTTTCCCTTAGTAAGCTCCTCATCACCTGCTGCAGCCTCTTCCTCCTGGCCCAGAATAGTGCTCATATCCATCTCTGTGGAGCCAGGGTCAGGAAGGGGAAGCCCCAGCACCCAGAATGCCCCATGCATGACCATATGCTTGGCCAAGGCTTTTCCCAGTGATCCTCCCCAATGCACAGAATGAAATGTGAGAAACACCCAAAAAGAAAAGCAATTGCAATGCCAGGGACATCTAGATACAAGCCAGGACAAATTCACAGTGATCCACCTGACTTAGCCTCCCAAGTGCTAGGATTACAGACATGTACCACTATGCCCAGCTAACTTGTGGTGGTGAAAGCCTGTAATCCCAGCACTCAGGAGGCTGAGTCAGGAGGATCACCTCGTTTTGAAGCCCAGCCTAGACTACCTAAAGTTTAAGGTTAGCCTGACCCTGTCTCAAAAAATAAAGCAATTGCTATTAAACCTCCCCTACAGAGAAAAACATCCCTGCCACCTTCTCATTGAGGGCTCTCCATGGGCCCTTCCCACTGGGTGCCAGCTGTGCATGTGGGAATCTGATGCCAGCCTGGTGAATATTAAAAAACATGCCACAAAGAGCTGGGAGCAGGGAAACATGTCATCCAAACATCCAAAGAAGAGCTGGTGCCCACTGCAGGTCAGCAGATCACACAGCAACACAACCCACTGCTCCTGGTGGTGGTCAGGAGGCCGCAGGTTGGTGTAGAGGATTGCAGTGCCAAGTGAATCTGACCTGGCACATGAACACTTGCAGAGATTGCAGAAGGCCGTGTGAGCAAACAAGCCTTAAACTGCCACAATCTGAGGTGACCACTCAACAAGGCACGCAGTCCACAGTGCCCCTGCCTCGAGCTGTCTGTCCAGTAGGGATACACTCAACCCAGAAGCATTTTAAGAGTGGACAGACAGGCAGGATGCAGTTGAGACCAGGCTTTTACCACACAAAGGTAAATGTCCAACTACAAGCGAATGGCCCCACAGGGAGAGAGCTGTAGCCAAAAAACATTGCTGGAGCTTGCAGAGGCTAGCTTCCTTGTGAATTCGGTGTCCACGACTTAGGTCTATGTTCCACATGAGTCTCTACATCATTTGGTGGAAGGCGGAGACCAGGAACAGCTTTTCTGCCCACCAGCACCAGTGGACCCTTCGTTATCCAGGCAAAGGCTGATGAACACTAACTGCGCTGTCTGTTGGGTCCAGGGCCTCCTGCCATTAACCTGAGCTCTACGACAGGCGCTGATGACAGCGCTTGGAGCCTGACTGAAGATGAGGACAGCCAGGGGAGTCAGGGTCTCACGGCTTTCCAGCCTTTGGCTCTCTGCCCCCCCACAGCCCTTGTGAAGGCCGCGCTTTCCACCCAGAGGACTGGGCCACAGGCCTCATTGCCACAGCTCTGCTCCCTCTGTTCCCTAACAAAGCAAGTCTTCTTTCAGTAGGAATTTTATACTTCTCAAGAACTGGCAAAAGGTGTGTCACCACCTTCCTGCTCTTAGAAAATTCCATGTTTTCCTTTCAGTGAGATTTTTCCTTGTCAGTGCAGCTGTCAGGACTTAGGTACCTGAGCGTGGCTCACATGGCCAAGACCAACACCAGGACAAGAAGGTGCATGTGACACCAGATGCTGATGTCAAAGGCCCCAGGCAGCAAGGCAAGGGCTGTGCACAGCTTGACGATCACCCAACAGAAAGTATGTGGCAGTTCTCAGCTTTGAAAGAACTACAAAATGGTGGAACAGTCTCTTACCTGAAATAAACTGAGCATAACTTCATCCTATCCAACCCTTGCTACAGGATCTGGGCTCCTTGACCAGAAGCAGCAGCCTTGCAGCAGGAGGAGCCACACACTGCAGTCTAAACGTGCCTGGAGGCTGTGGCATCTGCTGACCTGCTTCTTGGCAGAGGCCCTTGCATCTTCATAGGGGAGTGAGCTCTTAGGTGGGTCTCGGGCATCCGTTAACCTCTCATTGTTTCAAATGTTTCTTAAACAGCTATCAGAGACTTGCAAAATTATCATTGCAACTCTCTTCAGGGCCTATGCAGGTGTCCCAGTTGCTTGGGCAATGGGGTGTCAGATGAAAGATGACCCTAATAACCAGACTGAGTGAATGGCTAAAGCACATAGGGAGAGGGTGAGGATAGACACAATGCCCAGCTCTCAGGCAAGAAAACAGCAGGAACCCACAGAAGCTCACAAGGAAGCCTGACAGTGTCACTGCAGGCAGGCAGTAGTTAGCCTGGAGCCACAAGAGACAGTGGAAACCCCACTTCTAGGGTTACCAGTCTAAGGTTGCCTAGTGCGGCTGTGCACCCCCCACCAGGACAGCTGCATCTACAGATAGGCAGAGGTTACAGGCCCCACCTACATATCAAGTTCCCACAGGAACTGGTCAGTAAGAGGCCTCTGCCTCTTGAGAAGGATCTGTTTCCAAGTGGCACCTTTCCAAAAGGTGAATAAAAATGATTAGGTAAAAAGGTACCATGCTGAGATGTTCCTGTTCCTCAACTGGATGAGGAAGGTGGAAACTTGCTTACGGACCTGAGAGGCACCCAGCCTCAATGAGACCTCCAAACAGCTGAACTCTGGGCACAGGTGAGCATGGCAGCAGGTGCTCAGTCACCCTGACAGCCCAGCCAGCAGCACAGAATCCCAAACACATCTGGATGATGCAAGGTGAAACCGTTCCTTTATTTATGAAAACACATGTAGTCTGCACCTTAAAATGAGGTTTACAAGGTCAGGAAAGTGCCACGAGCGCTAAGTGATCAAGTAAAGTTTCTGTAAGGGGATGACAATAATCATGCAAACTACAAAGAAATGAAGACAAAAACAGTACTTTTATTTTTAAAAACTTCAGCATTAAGGTGGAACCGTCCCTCCCTGAAGACAATCACGTTCTGTCAGAAGCTACGGAACGCTGCAGGGCATCAATGCCCAGAGCAGCAAGTCCTCACAACTTGCTCAGAATCACAACCCCATCTGCTTGCTGACCCAGTCTGCTCACTGTGTAAACACAAGATTCACTTTGGTGAGTCCTTTCAAGAAAAGGCATTTCTCCCCATAGCACACCAATAAATATTTATACTAAAAACCAGATATAACAGAAGAAAAAAGTCATTTTTTCATTAATCTTTGTATACAAATTCAATTCACAGTGCATATTCCAATCCCAGTCTGGCTCAGTCTTCACCTCTGGAGGAAGGACAGCACGGAGGCCCCTAGCATATGCACCAGAATGTCAGTGAGGCACTGCAGGCACTTAGCGTTCCATCAGAGGCATAGCGAGGGCAGCCAGCGGGACGACTGCTCAAGTCTCAAGTGCAGCATTTACATCCCTGCACAGCCCGAAATAAGCCCACGCTAGCTACTGCTATAAAATACCTGCATGGGCCCTGGCATGCTGCATGTCTGGGCCATCCCAGCAGTATTTCTCTGAGGAGATGGAGGGTCATAGCCATGCACCCGACCATGCACCTGAGGAAACTTACAATTTCCCAACTCAGCTACTATACTGAAAATCATAAACTTTCCTCTGTGTTATTAAACAAAATGTTCACAATTTCAAGGTTGTGATAAATTTTTATTTGAAGACCGCTTAAAGCATGTCCCTCTTTCAAGGCGTGGTAAGTAAATGTCTTTTTCTACTCTAAAAGGTGGATGGATGGACAGACAGAGAGACACACAGATAGACGGAGGGATGAATGAGTGGGTGGATGGATAGGTGGGTAGCCAGCTATAGAAAATGGACAACCTTATTAAGTAAATTTGTCTAAGAATACAAACACTCTGTCACATCGCACTGTGCTCAGCCATCAGGCTTATTCAGTTATGCCACAGAAGCATTGGACAGAACATCCAGGTAAATAAAACAGCACAGAAATGCTCAAGGATGGGCACTTTCTGCTGTTTTTACTTTGTGTTGTTTTGTTTTCACCAGGAGGGGAATATACAGTATAATTGGAGGCTTTTCTTTAAACAAAGTAAAAATACACTTCTATCAAGCCACTTTTTCCTAAAATAGGTATCTGCACATCCGCCGCTAAAAGCCACTCTTCCAGACATAACCAGCGCCCTTGACACAGCGGCCACAGTGGGGACAGCAGCAGGTCTATGGAGACGGGCAGAGCACGATGCTCTCCAGTCAGCCCCAAGCTATCTGCATGGAAAACACTTCCTATAGATCTCACATCAACCACATTTCAAACAGCTAAACACCTAGGAATAATAGAAAAGAGGCACTTCAGTGTATAGTTAACTCCATACTTAACAAGTTAACATTTTCCAAACAAAATTGCCCAGTGACTAAAATTCATCCTCACTTTATAACATTTCTTTAATCTTTGAACTAAAAATACAAATTTTTGAAGGTAATAAAGAAGAGTATTTAGAAATCCAGGAGAAATACTAAAATCCAGAGAAGCAAGATTACCATCAAGCGCAGAGACTGTTCCTCCATCAGCAATGATGAACACGCATCTGAGGTGCCACTGACCCTCCAATATAACCTTTGCTTTTCCAGTATTTACTTTGTTACATATTTTAAAAAATTTAGTAAGTTACAGTTTAACTTGCAAGTTAAAGAGAATTTAGCGTAACCCTGGAAAGACTCATCTTGCCTCCAGGGCTGCAAGCTCCTATTCGAAGAAGAAGACAGCACACTTGCTGAGGGCATCAAGGATAGTTGAGTGTGAATGCAGGGGAGAATGTGGAGGTCCCAAAACAGAACTGTAGCTGACAGTAGCAGGGAAATACTTTGTGACTGACTGCAAGTCATTGTGGGATGACACCAAAAATTTGCATGTCCAGGTTAAGCAAACATGGACTGCAAAGGGTAGACGTTCCACTTAAGGCAACCAAGTGCAGACCTGCATGTGTTCACCTGGGAGCCTCAGTGCATCAGACCCGAAATGCAGACAGTGGGTTCCTACCGTACAGTTGGAGGCTTTGACAACAGAATGGGGTGAACAGAAGGGCACTAGGCCTGGCAAACCCAAAAGCTTATGCCATGGCACGAGGCGTGCATACACTTGGCACCATGGCTTGCCCTGCTCATTCCACGTCCTCCTGGGTGTCTGTCAGGTGACCCTTGCTCTGCCGCCTGATGCTAACCAGCTTCCCCGCTGACCGCAGGCTCCAGCGGGAACTGGCTACTGAGCTGGACAGGCTGGTGTACTTGCTGGAACCCTTTGCGTCACCCTCCCAGCCTGACCAGTGCTGGCAGTCACTCGAGGCATCCCCTGTATCAGCTGCCACGTCTTCCAAAGCAAGTCTTGGAGGTTCCCAACCTTCGATCTCATCTGGCTTCTTAGACTGTGTGTTCTGTTTTAAAACCAAATTGTCCCAAAATCCAGACTTCTTCTCTGATTTCAACTCTTCTTTTAATCGTAAGTTAGTTCTGTAGGAGATGAAAAAATTAAATGTTGGTGATCCAATGTTATAAATGTGTCAATTTCATAAAGTTCCCTTCTGAAGCTGTTAAATTACGTAAAAGCTAACACAGAGCTATGTGCAAACATTTTAAATAAATACTAAAGTTTAATAAGGAAAAATTAGTCACTACCCATTGTTAATGCAGCTTGTATAAGCCATACTTTGGGATACTTTTGGCATAAGCAAAGGCTCAATTCTCAGACACAAGATCTGAAAGTGTTATTAAGGATCTGGGTTCATGGGCCAGGGATGTAGCTCAGCAGTGCAATGTCTGCCTGGCAAGCGCAAGGCCCTGACTTTGATTCCTGGTACCAAAAAAAGAAAATAGTAAAATGAACAAACAAACAAAAAGATAAAAAGAAATCTAACTGTTCAAGCCAGGAGCAATGACAAATGCCTGAAATGTCAGCAATCAGGAGGGTAGGTATGAGGATTGCAGGCTGAGGAAGGACCTTTCAAGGCCATATGAAGGGAGTGCTCAGGCACCTGAGCAAACCATACATGAAATCCAGGGTCCAGATTAGGAAAGAAGGGGTAGACTCCATTTAGCAACTAGGTTTTAAATAGGACTACTCATAGCAACCTAGTCTCCAGCATTTAGTAGGTACACAACAAAAATAAGAATTTAGAATACCTCTACTATAAAAATGAACACAAAGCACGAGTTTGCTGCCATGGGCCACCCCTGACCAGCTCCCAGAACACTGTGAGTAACATGGGTGTCCAGGCCTCTCTCCAGAGATCAGCAGGTCCCTGGTAGCCAAGGGGACTAGATTTGCCCTAATTCTCCAGGGACCAAGAGAGCAGGCAGAGCCAATGCTCCACTAGAGCAAGCAAGGCGCTGCACCTGCCCTCAGAGCAGAGGAGCACAGACACACAGATGTCGTGGTGCTGACAGAAGGAAACCACGTATAGCTCACCAAGATAAGCCTTCTCAACAAACAGCACTTCCTATCACAGAGTAATTTGCAGGTGTGCTTGCAAAGATAAAAAATGTCCCCTAGAAGGACATTTCAGAGATTGGGCTTTTGGGAAATGACAGGATATGGAGACGCTAACTAACCTCACCAAGGGATTAATCTAATGCTAAGCACGTAGCTGAGCTGGCTAATGGGAGGTGGAGGCCTAGCTGAAGGGAGTGGGTCATAAGGGCATGACCTTGGAGTTTATATCTTGTCCCCGGCCTCTTCCTCTCTAGCTCTTCTCCTCTCTGCTTCCTGGCCATCATAAGGTGAGTAGCTTTTCTCCTCCACATGCTTTCACCACAATATTCTGCCCTACCACAGTTCTAAAAGCAATCAAGCCAGACATGCAGAATGCAAGGGTTACAGGGTCCTGAAGGCTTCCACCCAGATTTCAAAGGAAGGTTTGGGCGGGTAGGTAATATGTAGAATCCCTATGGGAAGCCCCTAAGAGGACAGTATGTACAGTTGTGGTAGTGAAAGCAAAGCTGCAGTGGCAAAGAGAGATACCAGGAGTGTCTGCTAAGGAAAGCTCAGGTAATGAGTAGAGCCAGCCCTAGAAGTCATGTGGATTGCAATGGGCAGGCCATGAGGACAGAGCTGCCCAAGCCCATTGGAGCTTACATGATAAATGTTGCCCAGATGCTGGACGTGGAGCTATGAGATTTAATGTTTTCCCTGCTGGGTTTCCAGGTGGCTTTGGGCCAATTCCTCCTTGCTATTTTCCTATTCTTCTCTTTCAGAATGGGAAACTGAACTCTGCTATTACAGGTTGGAAGTATGTAACTTGTTTTTTACTTTTATAAGGTCACACACAAAGATTGCTTTGAGTCTCAGAGGAGACTCTGGACTTGGACTTTCGAGCAATGTTGGAGCTGTTAAAGACTATGGAGACTCTTGGAGATGGACTGAAAACATTTTGCATAATGAAGAGGACTTGAGAGTCCAGAAGTAGAATGCTACAGTTTGGAGCAATGTCCACCAAAAGGCCCAGACATTTAGAAATGCAGCTTCTGGGGTTTGATCAGATCATGAGGACACTAACTGCATAAACGGATTAAGCCAGTGTTGGGATCACAGCTGAATGGGTGGTTAGGAGACGGGGCCAAGCTGAAGGGAGTGGGTCGGGGGCTATGACCTCGGGGACTGTGTCTTGCCCTCAGCGCCTTCATCTTAGACTCACTCCTTTCTCTCTTCTGCTTCCTGGCTGCTGCGAGGTAAGCAACTTTCCTCCACCTCGCCCTTGTACCATGTTTCTGTCTTGGAGCCAGCTAAGGCCTGAAACCATGAGTCAAAATAAATATTTCCTTTTTAAACTGTTTTTTCTTAAGTATTTGGTCAGAGCAGTAAAAGTTGACTAAAAGGAGGTGGCACTACTACAAGGCAGTCCGTGACTATTTCCAACTTTAAATGCACTTTTTAACATTGTGAAATATTTATAAAGTGGCAGCAGTGTGTCAATTTAAATCAGTTTAATTTTCTAAAATCATTTACAGATTAGCAATCAATCCTTTTTAACAGTTTTCCTTTATATTCTGAAAGTAATAAAAATTTTAAGTATGGCTATAGAGTGTCTTAAAGCCAATAAGTTCAATTTTAAATTCTAAGTTTTTTTTAGCCTTTCTATAGTGTTTCAAAATGCTACGGCCCCTGGGTGTTTTCACAAAAGGCACATTTTTTTTTTTTTTGTCTCTAAAACTTCCAAAAAATGCATATTTCTGTGTAATGGAAGGGGAAATCTCTGGGGTCACCTCACACAATCAGACTAGGATCTGCTGTGCCTTGGGGTGGGCAATGCCTGTCCAAGGGCCCTGGTGCTTTCTCCACTGCAGCCATCTTCTCCACCTCCCTACGCCTTCCTCCCTCTCATGAAATGATCATTTGATACTTGTGACTTACCCTTTGGACTTGGGAGATTTACATCTTTCAAGCAGATGTTGTTCATCATCTTTATTAAACAGAGAAGTCACATCTTTCCAACCTCGGAAACTTGTTCCCTGAACCTAACAAAAGGTTAAGAAAAATGTCAAATCTGATGTAGTAAATCAACAGATCTGTTTTCTATTCCAGTGAGTTCGGTGTCTGTAGATGGGAATATGGTCTGGGAGAGGTGTTGTCAGGCAGTTTAGTTATGCAGATATCATAGTATCCTGACACAAACCCAAATGGTCCAGCATATCCACAGCTCCGTGTACGGTGCAGACTTCCACCCACAGGGCCATGAGCACTCTAAAATAATGGAGAAAAGCACAGGATGGTAAATACGGAAACTGGTACTGTACATATTTATCAAGTGTTACGTGGTACTCATCATCACATGTGCTGTACTTGATATAAGTGGCGTCTTCACAAACCCAACTTGTGGCACTATGACATGACAACGGCTGCGAAAACACTAGGGCACCATCTGTAGCAGGTCCACTGCTGATCACATCACTCCTGGTCATGCTGCCTCTTCCCTCTGCATGTCTCCACACACTGAGATATCTGCCTGTCAGCCACCTGTCATCCTAGATATGATGGTGACAGTCCTACCTGCTTGTCCATGCTGCTGAGTGACCTACATCTGGTAATGTGCTAGTCAATAATCACATTTGCCTTAAAGTAGGTTGAGATAATGAGGGTTGTGGTCAAACAAAGCTTTCCATACAAGTAGGAATCAAGTTTCCAATGCTTGAGCCTGATCCCAGCAAAGGGTGTCTGTCCTGTCTGAATCACAGGCATTTTCTGTACCAGTTGAGGCTTCAGCACCTGAGGGGACACTGGCCCTTGCCCTCACCTCCACAAGTACAGGTGTCTGAGAAGAAAGAATGTTTGGCTGATTCTAAACAAATCATTTTATACAATTTCCATTTCTGAAATCTGAGTATCTTATAATTAATGCCACCTAGATCTGTAAAATACTTTGATCTTTTTTTTAAAGGAATGTACACAAAGAAACTAACATTTCCTGAAAGTCCAGATTTGCATTGCAAGGTTTAACATTCCTCTGCATCCATTATCCCTGCTGGGGCTGTCCAGAGGAAGGGCCCTGCAATGGGGCAGACGGAGCTTTAAATAATCTGAAATGTCATAAAAAGCGAATACAGAAATAAAACAACACTGAAAAATTAAAATGAGCAGCTGGGATGCCACTAGTATGAGACAATCTATCATAAATTCAGCTAACCCACCAACACAGGCCTACGACTAAGGATCCAGTGTCCCCAGCATGGGATGTCCTCAGGAGCTGGTGGAAGACCCACAGATCCCACTTTCCACCTATCAGGCCAGACTAGAGGATCCCAAACTAGGCAGAGGTTTGTGTTCCAAAGGGCAAATGGCCCAAAAACCCACTGGGAAGACATTAACAATCATGGAGCTGGTGCTGTGCCCACTCCAAAAGAAACCGCAATGTCAATAAACCAGGTGTTCAGCATCAGTTTTCAATGCTACTCTGAGACCTTCCAGGCAGTGATAATTCACCAGTGCTGTGCAACACTGGCATGCGTATTTGGCAGTCCACGTGGCTTAGCAAGATGAGCTGCTAGCAGGATCCCACCAAGAAGTCTGAATTCAGATTCTGACCCATCTAGACCCTGCAGGGTAACAGTGTACACCACCAACGTGCCTCATCCATGGATTGAACAGTAACCCACAGGACACACACTGGATCCACGGTGTGGAAACTGAGCGCTAAGACTGTCAGCCACTCAGCCAAAGCAAGCAGCCATGAAGTGAGCCACTCAGTCCAGATGCTCTAATGGTGGCTTTACCAAAAGTAATCTCACATGTACTCTTTCTAAAGGTACTTTTTTTTTAAAAAAAGCCTCATTAAGCCACACAGGAGACATAGTTTTCATACTAGTGACAACAGAGTTCATGGGATGTGGAAGCCAGGCCTACACTGTACAGTGGTCCCCTTAGTCAAGGTCATTCTTCCCACAGATTGTTACCCACAGGCAGCTGAGGTCTGAACATACTAAATGGAGAAATCCAGAAATAAATACTAATTCTTAAATTTCAAATTATGCTGCATCCTGGGCAGTGCAAACAAATCCACACAGTCCTGTCCCATCAAGCTGGGCATGAGTCATCCAGTGTGTCTGCTCTGCATACATTACCTGCCTGCTTGTCACTCAGGGGCTGTCAGGTATGGGGTCAACTGTGGTAGTATCGCAGCACCTGGGCCCAGCAACCCTTATTTGACATAACAATGGCTGTAAAGCTCAAGAGTACTGACATACTAGTTATATCTATTGTTGTAACTGCCGCATTTTATGAGTTATTGCTATTAATCTTTTACTATGCCTAATTTATACATTAGCTGTTATGATTTATTTCTGAAATTCCTCCAAGAGTCTCATGTGCTCACAAGTGGGGCTTTTGGATGGTTATTGAGTCACAGGGGCTCACAGCTGACTTGCTGTTAGAGGTGGTCACTGGGGTGTGGCCTGGCAGGGCATCTCTTTCTTCTTGGCTCCTCCCTTCATTGTCTGCTCCTGGCCACTGTGACAGCTGTCCTCCACCAGGCCCCTCTGCCATGCTGTTTCTTCTTTAGAGCCGCTGACCATGGGCTGCAACATGAGCCAAAATAAACCTCTCCTCCTTTAAGTTGTGGATTTGGGATCCTGTGTCCCGGTGATGAAGACAGTGACTAAGACAACTCTTATCACAGGCTTGTATAAATGGGTAAAAACAGTGCACATAGACTTTGGTTACAGTCTGGGAGTCCTGGAAGGTGTCCTGAAGGATAAATGGATGGGAGAGTGCACTTACTACTTGTTGTCATGGTCTTGCTGCTGTGTTTCCTGGTGTGGATAACAAAGAGGATAATGTATGAGCCAGGAGTGTTGGCACATGCTTATAATCCTGACTACTTGGAAGGCTGAGGTAGGAGGATCACAAATTTGAGGCCAGTCTAGGCAATTTAGCAAAATGAAAAGGGCTGGGGATGTAGTTCTCTGCTCCCTGATTCAATCTCTACTACCACAAAAAAAAAGAGGGTGGGTGAATGTAGCTGTATAGAGCCCTAAGTCCACACCCTAACACACTGGTCACACCCCAGAAGTTTCCTACTTGAGGCTTAATGCTGGCAGCGGGGTGCTGCTGGCTGAGGTAACCTAGGAGGGAAAGAGGGAGAGAGGGAGGGAGGGAGAGAGGGCAACTCCCCTGCAGGGCTCTCTTTGGCACTGCCATAAACTGCCTCTATCCCTGTCTTTCCTGAAGATGGAACATGGAAATAGCCTCACTCTGGGGCCAGTGTCCAAGCCACAGACACTTTGCTGTCCACCTGCAGCCAGGCTGGGTTCAGTCATGACATAGGAAAGGCAATTCTGAATTTCCAGCCATTCTGAATTTTAGACTCAGATAATCTTATGTTTAAACACTCGAGTTAAGAGCATTGGTAATTCTGGAGGAATTCAGGCAACAGGCCAACTGTGAAACCAAAGCCAAGCCCCCTTTATCAGACTAGAGTATCACGATACAGGGAAATTTCCAAGACACGTGGCCAATGCAGGGCACCTCAGAGCAGCACAGGCTCACACCAACCTCATGCAGCCTGGTAGACCCCAGACAGGGAGAGACCACGGTCCCCATGCTCCTGTCCACTGAGGACTATCACAGAATCAGGTATACTCAGAAGGACACCACATGGTGTTCAGAGCTGCACACCCACCCAGTGTCTAGAATCTCATGTGTACGTGTGAACATATATGTGTGCATGTGTGTGTGCACACACACACATACACACATACACTGTACTATATCCAGGATCACACACACTATATTCTATCTAGATCATACACACACTGTACTGAATACGGGATCACACACATACTGTACCCTATCTAGATCACACATACACACACACACACACACACACACACACACACACACTACCCTATCAAGGATTGCACACACACATTGTACTGCATCTGGGATCACACACACCCAGCCAGTGTGAGGACACCACAAACTGGGACTTCAGACAGGAAACCACTGCAAGATGTGTTGACAAACTCACAGGGCAAGTGCCCTGGGGTGACCTCATGTCTCACATGGGGGTACACATGTGTGAATGTGCTTGTGATACAAGCTGGTTATCTGCTTGTGCAATGTCCCTGGAAAGGAGTACGACTGGTCACTGCAGAAAGAGCCAGTGCCTGGGAAACACAGAGGATATTTTCACTTTTTCGCCTTGTATATGAGTCACCCATCAGACAGACTACAGACACATGTCTTCAGCTGTGCTCTGGAAACAGAGTGATAATCACAGCACTTCTTAGCCGCAGTCCTCATCAGGTCCCACAGCACACAGGAACCTGGGAGGTCATCTTCTCAGCTCCCCCGGGACACAAGCTGCCTCACTCTGGATGCACAGGACAGAAGTTAATTCATTTCCTGTGATAGGACCAGTTGAGAACAACACTACTGTTGCCATCCTCCTCCCTCAGCCACCTCAGGTCTTCAGTCCACCCCAGGGGTGTGCTGCCCAGGGTCACCAGCTAAGATGTCAGAGAAGATCAGACAAAGTCATTCAGCTTGGTACGTGGAGGTGGGCAGCCAGGGCAGGCAGGGGTCCCACTCATCCAGGAGAGTGGGGCATGGGTGGGCACAGTGAGGGAAGTACAGCCAGATTCGGGGTGGACCAGGCCCCACAAGGGGCAGGACTAGAACCAGCAACTAAGGTGGCAAAGCTAGGGTAGGCGTCCCACTCACTGTCTAAAACAGCTAAGGGTAGCACACAGCTAGTCAGCAGCAGCCACAGACAGCCAGGAGCTGCACTGCAACCATAGCATGGGGCAGCCACAAGGCCCAGTGTAGACACAGGAGCCACGGAAAGAAGCACGGGACCTAACACCACAGCAAAGCACATGCCCTGACATGTGACACAACTTCTGCACCACACATACTGTGAGAAGAAGAACAGCACCAGCAACAATAGATGCCATCACACCTGTAACCCAGAAGTTAATCCTCCTCAGAGCATGGCTGTCTGTAGCCACAGAAGGCATTAAGTCAGAATCCAGAGCAAGGCAGCTCACACATACTCTGCGATGGTCTTTGTGTCTACAGAACTCAGACGGCCGGTAGGGGCCCAGTTGCACTGATCCCCTGCTCCAGCTAGAGACACAAAACCCAGGAGCATCGCTGGTGTGGAGGCCCAAGCTGTCTGGAATCTCAGACAGGTCCCTCTGCCTGGTATTGCTCCTCCCAGCAGTTCTCCCTCTGCTCTGTATCCTATTCCTATTCTCATCTCCTCCCGCTCCAGGGCCAGAGCAGAGTCACTCCATCCAAGAGCTGCAAATAAAGCCACAGGGTCTGTAACCAACTTTGTTCTGATTGTGTCTTTTGATAGAATTCTTAGCCTATAAAATGATAAAATGAAAACTATACTTGGAAACAGGGAGTTAAATGAGAAACAGGTTAAACTGTCTCTCAGAACATCTCCTGTGGGGTGGGGCAGATTGCTTTTCAACAAACTTAATGGTTCCTTTTAAATCTGAAAAATTGTTAAAAAGCAAAATGCTACAGAAATTACAATATATAATGATAAATACATAGTGTCCTCAATGTAAGAAAAGTTTTACAAAGCAACAAGAAAAAATTAGAACAACCAAGTAGAAAAATGGGCAAAACAAAACAAACTGCCTTTGAATACACCATGGGGTCCTCAGTACCAGAAGGCCCCACTGCCTGTGATGGCAGCCAGAGGCATCTACACCCTCTGTCCTGTCTTCACGATCTTCCCAGCTTTCCCTTACCAGGCAGCCAATTTTTATCATGCCTGGCAATCATGGGACCACAGACAGCTCCTACAATGCTGGTCCAGTGGCTCTGCCACAGAGGGCGAGAGGGGCTTACTCAGGACCTTCACACCCTGTCGTTTAGGTAGCTTCCTATAGCACAGGCTGCCTGGTCCCAGGACAGCCCTGTCACTAACACACTCATGCTCCTCTCCATCAGGAATGCAGCTACACCACCTCTGGCAGTAGTGGTTTTCCTCCTGCAATTTCTGTAAAATGTTATCTTTTAAAAAAAATTAAAAAAAAATTTGAGACAGGCTGGTCTTGAACCGCTTGGTTCAAGAGATCCCATCATGTAGCTGGAACTGCAAATACACACTGCCATACTCTGCTGAAAATCAAAGTTTAAAACAGTGGAGAGAAGGAGAGGAGGAAGATGAAGAGGAGGAAGAGGAGGAGAATGACTGGACACAGGAAGGCCGTGCTGCTTGAGGGCCTCAGGCCTCCTATGAAGGAATGGAGACCCTGTGCAGTGTGCTGGATGTGTTCTTGCTTCCTTTAGTCCCCTTTCTCTAGTCTAACCAAGGGCAGAAGTCAGAATTAGGAGAGTCTGGAGATGGACCCCAGCCTACTCACACAGAAATGAAAACAGAGCTCCCTGGCTGAAGTGGCCTAGTGCGTGTGAGGTGTGCAGGGGTCTGCGCTCCACCAGGCACCCGAGTCACATGCACTCTTCCCACTATCATCAACAGCCTGAGCATAGCACTCGCTGATCTTCAGAGGAGAAGCCGTCATCACTCAGCCATGCACACTGGGCCAAGAGGGTTGTGAGTGTGCCGGCTTGTGATCTGAGCTAACCAACTTCTTTATACTCTATCACTGAGTTCAGAGCAGCCCATGTAAAGATTCCAATATCATTTAAATTCTAACACACCAAAACCTGTCACTGCTCAGCAGTGACAATGCAATCATTAAGATAAATGAACTTGTGTTCTTTGCTTGCACACACGTTGGAAGCCAGATTTCCAATTCATTCAGAGCTTGTATGCCTCATTTTTAATCATTTCCCATTCTGAAAATTTCTATATTATGTCCTTTTAAAGTAAATATATTTGAAAACTAAATGACTAGTTACTATTAATAATGGTAATTACTTACTTGGAAAAGTAAGGAAAAGTTACTTCCCACACAAAATTTTCAAAGTATTTTGCTGAAATAAAAATTAACCTTTCACAAATAATGACTTAATACTCAATTTATGTAACCAATATACATTATAAGCTCCACATAATCTTGTATGCCTGATGAAAACATATTAATTAACACAATTGGAATTACTTATGTACTCTAAAATAAGAAACCATAACACTGCCTACCTAGAAATGGACCCTTAGACTTAAAACAGCAGTGCAGCCTTGCTTGTACAAATATTCTTTTGTTCAGCTGGCCTGCAAAGTGCCAAAAAGGATTAAATCTGTGAGTGCAGTAAGTGTTCTGCACAAGCCCACACAGACCTCTTTTATGAGCACTAAGTCAGTTTTAATAACCAGTTCCTTATGCTGGCCACCTGTGCATCACGGTGGGAGGGATCTTTGCAAGTTATGGATCTTGATTTTCATGGCAGTGAAGGGAATGTAAAAGCTGACCAAACCAATGTGACCAGATAAGCAATGCTTCACCAAAGCCTAGGGTGAGAGCAATAAGAAAATGACCATTCCCAAAGCCCAGGCTGTGTACAGCAGTACAAACCACGACCCCAGGAGTAAGCAGCCTCTGACTAGCAACTGCAAGTGTCACCCAAGAAGACCTGGAGTGGAGGCCACCCCCATGGAGAGAGCACAGTCACACCCAAAATTACAGAGACAGCAGCTGATGTCTTAGGTGCCAGCCACCTGGAGAAGGCAGGACAACGGCTGCCTCCTGCGAGAAGTCCCGTTCCCCATGAGAACCCTTGGGGCTGTCTCCACCCTCCTGGGGACACAGAAAGCAGGCTGAGAGTAACACCATGCTTGGAAGAACCAGATCCTCCAGAGCTCCCTAGTTTGCAAGAAGAGAAAGAGATAGGAATTGCTCTCTAACCCAGACCCAGCATGAACACAAAGAGGTCACATATCCAGGCCAAGGGATGGTGGGAAAAGCAGAATGAAGAAAAGACTCATCCCTGTCACCTTCTGACTCACACAGAGACAGCACTAGACACCGACAGGAACCAGAGAGAAGCAGCCGCTGCAGCTGCAGGACGCCATCCTTCCTGGAGACCTGGCTCCGGCAGCAATGCCCAGGGTCCCCAGTCATGCTGGCCTCACAACTGTGTCCCTGCTCTTCTCTTTCCCCAGGGCTGTTTAGACCACTTGCAGGCACCATGAAAGGAAGGGGACGCTGGTACCATGAACAGGAAATGGACCTCCACTGTGTTTGATTCCCAGACCTCAGGGTCTGCTTGCTGTAGCAGCTCTTATCACAAAAACACAGAGAAAAGGCGGCCACATTTGGTAGCAACCAGCAAGCATAAACCAGTGGTCTGGACACAGGCTCAAGGAAAGGAGCCTGACATCCCTGGGGCTGGAGCTGGGCACAGGGCAGACTGAAAGAGGACAAGCAGCAGCCTTAAGGAAGATCCAGGACAGGGAGCTTTGGGCCACGCCTGGCTCACCAGGGCCAAGGCAGGAACTGCTAGTGATTATAAACACCATGCTGTAAACAAAGCATTACAGAAATAGGTCTGGCTGATTTTAAGAGAAGATAAAACTGGACAGGATAAAGGATCCAGATTTCCTGGGCTTAAAATAATAAACTAAAACTGAGGGAGAATAAGGGGGCCGAGGAGGTGGGAGGCGGCCAGGCAGGGAACAGAAGCCTGCCCTGGAGACCTGTGTGACGCACAGGGACAGACAGTGACAGCCAGCAGGCAGCAGCCTCACACTGGGCAAGACTGCAAACTCTCAGGAGCACAGAGCGTTAAACTCAGTTCCTTAAACCCTTTGAGGGTTTAAGGTTCCTGCCAGCCTCGGGGATAAAACACCAACCCTCAAGAAGCTCCAGAGCTCTCTAAGTCCCGAGCAGTGTGCTGCACCACACCAGCAGAAGAGCTCTTCATTTGTTTTCCCCTATTTCCTACATGAACACTGTACTGCTGGGTTGGCCTTCTGGATGGGCTGGAATGGGCAGTGGGCACAACAGGATGTCTCCTCCTGTGGTCAAGCATAGGTCATCTCTATATCCTTCCCATTGGCATCCCTGGCCAGGTTCCAGTGTTGTGAGCCAGAAGCCACCAAACTCCTCTGAGCTTTCTTGTCCAGGGTGCAGGTCAGTCCAGAGGTGACAACAACCCACACCCCTGCCAAAGATCTAGATGCTGTTCTTAGGCCCCAGAACCTGGCAAGATGCCTGACATCAATCACACTAAAATCTTAAGTAATTGCAATTATACTACTTGTCTTAGTTACCTTTCTCATTGCTGAGACAAAATACCCCAAATAGACATCCTACTATACCCACTACACCCACAGTTAAAGGAGAAAAGGTTTATTTTGGCTCATAGTTTGTAGAAGTTTCAGTACATATTTGGCTGGCTCCAAGGCAGGGTGGCCTGGCAGAGGGGCATCACAGAGAAGAAACAGTTTGTGGCAAGCCAGAAGGCAGCAAGCAAATGACAAGTGACAAGACAACAGCAGCCTTTTCTGTCCCTTATGTTCTTATTCAACATTGCACCATGAAATCCCAGCATTACACCACTGATTCCAGCATTACACAGTCTAGATCCAGCCACCTCTAAAAGCCCCACCTAAGATCACATGAGGCTTTGGGGGACACCTAGAAACAAGCTATACCACTACTAAAAACAGACGGTAATATAGATCAAATTATGCTATATGTCAAAGTGAAAAAAATTCAAAATTGAATAAAGATGCCAAAATAAACACATCTAAAACGTAGGTTAAATATAACAATAAGCAATGTGTTGATTATTGTTACTCTCCTACTAGCCTGTTTTGAAACTCTGTTTTATTATTATTTCGTACTTTTTTCTGTTTAAATTAAAAAAATAAGTAAAACACAGGTTAAAGGTATCATCAAAAACCTGCCCCGAAGAAAATACCAGGCACAGATCTATTCCCCGCTGAATTCTGCCAACTAATTAAGGAAGACGTAGTACCAATTCTGCTGAAGTTCCTCCAAAATGTAAAAAAGGAAAGAACTTACTTTGTTAGAGCAGTGTTAACCTGATAGCAAAACCAGACAAAGACATCACAAGAAAAGGAAACTATAGACCAATATCTCTTATAAATATAACCCCCCAAATACTCACAAAATGCTAATAAGTTGAATTCAAAAATAAATAAATAAATAAATAACATGACACACTATGGTAAAGTAAGCTTTGTTCCTAGAGTGCAAGTTGGTTCAACATGCTAAAACAAAAAATTTGTTATATCAAGAGAACAAGGTCTAGTACTGGGGATGGACTTAGGTTTTCATATATGCTAGGCAAACAAGAGTACTGACCATCCCCGCTACCACAAAAAAGGAGAGTAGGAAAGACAGATCACATGATCACATCACCAGATGTATAAGAGGCATTTCATTGCCAGGTGTGTGGTACATATGTGTTAACCCAGCTACTAGGGACTGGGATATAGCTTAGCGATAGAGGACCCTGGGTTCCATCCTCAGCACTAAAAAAGAAAGAAGAGGGGTAGGAGGAGAATGTGAGACAAAAGAAAAGAAAAAAAAATTTGACAAAACCCAACACCCTTTCAGGATTAAAAAAAAAAAAAATCCCAAGCTGATAATGTGCAGCTATGAAAAACCTACAGTTAACATCACACTAAATGGTGAAAGATTGAAAGATTTCCTCCTAAGACCAAGGACAAGGGTACTAACTGTTATTCTGCCTACGTAACACTGTGCAAGAAAGTCTAGCCAGAGCAATTCGTCAAGAACAGAAACAAAAAAGTATCCAGATAGGAAAAGAAAAAGTAAAACTATCTCTACATGATTACATGATCTTTTATATGGAAAGTCCTAAAGAATCTACTAAAAATCTACAACTATTACGAGTTCAGCAAGATCACAACACACATAACACTGGATATGATGGCACACACCTATAATCTCAGTACTCTCTGAAGCTGAGGCAAGACAATTTCAAGTTTGAGCCAGCTTGTCAACTTAACAACTTAGCAAGACTGTCACAAAATAAAAAAGTGTCTTGGGTTCACTCCCTAGCACTGGGAAAAAAAAAAATACATGATCAATATACAAAAATCTAATGTGTTCCTACACACCAGCCATGACCAATTCAAAAATGAAGCTAAGAAAACAATTCCATTCATAATCATGTCAAAAAGTAAAACATTTATGAATAAATATGACAAAGTTCAAAATCCACTCTCTAAAAATTATAAAACATTTCTGAAATATTTTTAAAAATCTAGCTACATAGCAAACAAATCATTTTTACTGATTAGAAAATAAAAACATTGTTAAGATGGCAATATTTCTTTAAATTTAGCTGGATTCAAGGTAATTCCTAACAAGATCTTAGATGACTTTTCTACAAAATTGATGTTAGTTCTAAAATTCATATGGAAAAACAAGATTTAAAACAGTCTAAACAACCTAAAAAAGAACAACAAAGTGTGCAAAGAGGCAAAGGTTCTTATTTCAAGACTTACCACAAAGCAATGTGTGGTACTAGCTTGTGGACAGAGACCAAAGGAATAGAGGCACAGGTCCAGAACTAGACCCACACTTCTGCGGCAGCCTGATCCTGCAGGAACAGTGCCAAGACAACTCAGTGGAGAAAGGACCCTCTGGTCAACAAACGGCGACATGACAACTGAATGCTACGTGCAAAGGAATGAAATTGGATCCTTACTTCACCCAGGTACAAAAATTAATTTAAATGGATCAAAGGCCTAAATTTAAGAGCTAAAACTATAAAATTCTTAGGAGCAAATATGAGAGCAATTTTCATGACTCTGAATTTGGAAAAAGACTCTTAGATGAGCTACCAAAACCAAGAGCAATACAAGAAAACAGTTTAAAGTTCAGCAAAATTAAAAACTTGTATGCTTCAAAGGCATTATCAAGGGAACAAAGAATAGACCGCATGGAAGAAACTAACTCCAACTCATGCATACAATACAGGGCTTTTACCTAGAATATATAAAAAACTTTAAAATACAAAAAAAATACACATTCCCAATTTTTTAAAAGGAGGAAAGATCAAACAGAAAAGTCTCTGGGGAAACTACAAATAGCCAGTAAACATATTAAAAGATTCTCATATCATAAACTTTGGGAGAATACAAATCAAAATGACAATGATGTAATACTTCATATCCACTAGGATAGCCAGAAAAAAAAGGCAGATAATAAGTAGTGTTGGTGAGGATGTGGAGAAATCGGAATCTCAAACTCTGCCTATGGGGATGTAAAATGGCGTGGCCACTTGAGGAAACAGCAGCGGGTCCTCAAACAGCTAAACACGGAATTGCCATGTGGCCCAACCATTCCACTCTTGGGAACATACCTACAAAAATGAAAACAGGTGGATGCAAAACCTTGTACACAGACGTTTATGGTAGCATTATACATAACAGCCAAAAGTGGAAACAACCCACACATCCATCAACAGATGAACGGATAAAGAAATGAATTACTGAGCCATGAAAAGACATGTGGGAAACTTCAATGCATGCTGCTAAGTGAAAGGAAGTAATCTAAAAAGGCTATATGTCGTATGGTTTCAAATGTATGATATTTTGGAAAAGATGAAAACATGGAGACTGTGAAAGCATTGGTAGTTGCCAGGGGCCAGGAGGAGGCAAGGATGATTAGGTAGAACATAGAAGATTTTTAGGGCAATGAAACAATGTTCTATGAGAATAGTAGGTACCTGTCATTATACATTTGCTCAAACCCACTGAACATCAAACATGAAGAGTGGACCCTTACTGTAAGCCATGGGTTGTGCGTGATGACAATGGCTTATGCGCTCATCAGTTCTAAGAAATGCACCCCGCTGTGGGACTGACACAGGAGGCTGTGCGTGCATGAGCACAGGGGCAGGTGCAAAGTCTCTGTGCCCTTCACTTATTTTGCTATGAACCTAAAACTGCTCTAAAAATAAACTGCTGAGAAAGATGATGATCATAAACTGGTTTAGTAACAAAAAAAAGTAAACATGTAAAGACAAACACATTTTCTTACATCTTACACCTTATGTTACCAGATATTAAATGCACTGTAAAATTTCTGTGGATAGTAGGCTGTGCCCTGCCAGCAGTGACTCCATGTTATTTATTTTTAAAAATAGCCATTTGCTGCATTTGGAGTTCAAGGGTCTTGAGGCAGAATGACTTTGTCAGTTGTCTGTGCAAACGGATCACCACAAGTGTTGGACACAAATTTAACAAAAAGAACTTTGCATAGAACAGTGATAAGCCACAAACTAGTAAATGAATCATGCTAATAATAAAAAAAATACCTGTGATCTTATCAGTGCACATGAGCATACAGGATATCAAAGCCATCTCAGAAATACCAGGCTAGCAGGCTTCTTAGACACAGAAAACCAAGGAATGGTGCAGCCCTTCACTAGACCAACCCTGGAGCCCAGCGGCACATGCACTGACCTGTCATGTGGTGAGCATCTTGTGAGGTTGACATGGTAGAGGAACTCTGTCCTCTGCTTCAGCTGGGTTTCCCTGCTTGATATGGTGCCCCTTGGAATGGGAGTTTCTCTACTAATACATGATTGAGCCTAGTTGAGGGTTGTGAAAGCCCCCAATTTACAATCAGCTGCGCAGTATGAGTGGCCTGGAAACCCCATTTTTTAACATAGGAAAAGCCTTAAAGTTTACCATCTTGACCATTTTTAGGTGTACAGTTTAGAAGTGTTAACTTTATGCACAGTTGTACAACAGATCTTTAACATTTTTTTGTCTTATAAAACTGAAACTCTGAACAGATTTGAACACCCCTTTCTCATCCAGCCATTAGCAACCAGCACACTACTTCCTTTTTTTTTGAGACAGGGTCTCACTGTGTGGTTCAGGGTGGCCTTGAACTCACTATGTAGGCCAGGGCCTAGCCTCAAGCTTACAGCAATCCTCCTACCTTAGCCTCCCAAGTGCTGGCCCAGCTCATCTACTTTCTAAGGGTCTGACTACTTTCAATGCCTCACGTAAGTGGAATTAGGACATTGTGAATGGCTTAGTTCACAAGCATCATGCTTCAAGGTGAATCCACATAAAAGCTTATGACAGGACTCCTACTTTCTAAGGCTGAAGAATATTCACTGGACATACAAACCACATTTTCTTCATCCATGGATCTATACATACACATTTAGACTGTCCTCACCTCTTAGCTATTGTGCATAGTGCTACAATGAACATGGGTAAATATATCTTTAGGATCTTGTTTTCAACTCTTTAGGATATATATCCAAAAGCAGGATGGCTAGATCAAGCAGTAGTATTATTTCTAATTTTTAGAGGAGCCTCTATACAGTGGCTACATCATATAACATTCCCACCCATAGT